GTTGATCCGGGACCATCAAACATATTAATTTACTAATGTTAATCCTGGACCATCAAATTTATTAATTCACTAATGTTAATCCTGGATCATCAAATTTATCAATTCAGTAATGATGATCGTATGCCAACAAACTTATCAATTTACTAGTGTTGATCCTGGGCCATCAAACTTATTCACTAATGTTGATCCTGGACCATCAAATTTATTCATCAAATTTATCAATTCACTAATGTTGATCCTGGACCATCAAACTTATTTATCAAATTTATCAATTCACTAATGTTGATCCTGGACCTTAAAATATATTCATTAAATTTATCAATTCACTAATGTTGATCCTGGATCATCAAACTTATTAATTCACTAATGTTGATCATGGACCAACAAACTTATAAATTGACTAATGTTGATCCTAGATAATCAAATTTATCAATTCACTAATGTTAATCCTAGATAATCAAATTTATCAATTCACTAATGTTGATCCTGGATAATCAAATTTATCAATTCACTAATGTTGATCCTGGACCAATAAACTGGACCATCAGACTTATTAATTCACTAATGTTGATCCTGGACCATCAACTTTATTAATTCACTAATGTTGATCCTGGACCATCAACTTTATTAATTCACTAATGTTGATCCTGGACCATCAAACTTATTAATTCACTAATGTCGACCCTGGACTATCAAACTTTTTAATTCACTAATGTTGATCATGGACCAACAAATTTATATATAAATATAAATATATAAATATAAATAAAAATAAAAAAAAACATGAGATGTATAAATATATGTGTGTGTGTGTGTGTGTGTGTGTGTGTGTGTGTGTGTGTGTGTGTGTGTGTGTGTGTGTGTGTGTGTGTGTGTGTGTGATTTCTGAAGGACAATGTGACTGAAGACTCGAGTAAAGAAGCTGAAAAATTAATCTTCACTGGAATAAATGGTTGAATTCACAGTTTTACAATTTGTACTGTATTTCTAATTTAAATAAATGCAGCATTTATATTTTTTTTTCCAGAAAAATGTATTTATTAAATATGTTTTAAATAGTCCTAGCTAATAACGTTTTGTTTTAAATAAATAATTTTTTAAATTTTAAATAAATAAAATTTTGTAATTTTAAAAGACAACATTATTAAATACACAAATTTGTCAAAATATATACATAATCACAACTGTAAAAATAATCAGACACCTTAACAACTAAAAACATGTATACAAACATCATAATCAAGTGAAACTACATTTTTTTGGGCTGTCATATATGAGTTGTAATACAACATGACCCCTTAAAGGAACTGACAGGAATTTACAATTGTCAATCATATAATATGCATTTTAAAGAACCACTGTGCATCTCATCCCTTAAAAGCTCTCACTATGATGATTAAACTCTTTAAAGAGATTAAGCATAGGGTGGAACCTTTCAGAATAATTCACTGACATTTAATAATAAGCACACTTACAGATACAAGTGCGGTTGTCAGGCTGTAGTGTGTATCCAAGTTGACAGGCACACAAGAACGACCCAAGGGTGTTGAGGCAAATCTGTGAACATGGTGGATCAATTCCCACACTAGAGGAAGAACACTCATCTGTGTCTGAGAGACAAAATGATATCAAGCTTTGAAAGATGTACACAAACGGTCATCATGTTAGTACAGCACTGAAACAGTATTTAATTAATTAACATGCAACACAAGCAACACTGCTGTTACTCTGATATTTGGCATATTATTGTTATGGTATGCAGCAATAAACTATATATATATATATATATATATATATAGCATCTTATATTTTAGACATAATAAATTAGACTAGTATATTTTTTGTTGTATCAATAAAAATAGTTCCAAACAAAACCACCAATAAGCGACCAAATGTAGTACATTGGTGCTTTTTTACTCAGTGTTTTTGATTTAAACAGTTGAGCAGAAATCATTCAAAGACAGTCACTTTAATTTGTACCTTGTCCGCAGTGGTTTTCATCTCAAATTGTGAATTCTACTCTTGCAAAAAATGTGAATACTGAATTAAACCTTTGGTATTAAAGTCGAGTTTCCATCTAACTTTTGTCAAATTTATATCCACAATAAAATGGAAGCTGCTACTGCCCCATCCAGTATTGTGAAAAGATATAGCTGAAAATTGCATGTTGATGTTTTAGTTGACATAATCTATGATTCAAGTGCCACTCAGCAGTTAAAAGCTGTAGGCGCATTTACTGCCTCCGCAGCAAGCATGGTGGCAGAGGGAACATATTGAAGTGTTAACATCTGTATGTACACATGATAAGGAGAAATGAAATGCATACAACACTGAATTGTTTGGTATTTGCTTTGAGTGTATATATTTTTATAACTCACCAACTGCTTGGTAGAATGCACTGAATCCCAAGTGAGACTCGTGATTTGAATCATCTGTTAGAAAAAGCAACTGGAGGCGATTACCAGGAGCCAGTATGGGCTTGTCACTGGGATGAAACTTGTCAGTGGAATTCTGTCCACAAAACTTTCCCAGAACTTTCCTATCAGACACAACCTGAAAATAAAAATACCAATGGCTGAGCCGTAATAAGCTACTAAATTCAAGCAATTTTAAGCAACTATGAACAATATTTTACATACTAGTGTCTTTTCAATTAAGTACTAGTACTTTTTTCATTAGCTTTAGTGCTTATGCTTTACTTACTAGTACATTTTCCAATTTATCAAGTTCATTATACAATAAAATTTATTGAACTTTTATTGATTAGATGCTATTTATTCATTACACACTGGTACTGATTATTAAATACTAGTACTTTTTTAATTTGTGATATCTATTGAGTCTATTGTATCTTGTCACCGACTTGGTCCCGGTCATTCCCCTCGCTGGCCAGCAGAGGCCGCCATCTCCGGACTTTTAGCATTACATCATCCATCTACACTGATTGCGCATACACCTGATCTGAATCTAGTTAACGACCCACGTACCTCATATAAGCCGCTCTCAAACACTCAGTCAGTGTGAAGTCTTGTTCAGCCCCGGCCAGCATTACTGAACGGTATATCCAGCCTGTCTCTTACTTTGCTTTGCCTTCTGCCTACCCACGCCTGATATACGGACTCTGATTCTCGCTGCCTGCCTTTGACCCAAGCGTGATACACGGACTCTGATTTACGCTCACTGCTCACTACTCATGCCTGGTAACTCACTCTGTCTGTTCACTGTCATTCTTGAAATTATTACTACTACTGTGGATGTGTGTGTGTGCACCCAGGTGCATATTGTGTGTTTGAGTGAAGTTGTGATTAATAAATACTGCATAATGGATCCCTCCGTGTCAGTCTCCTCGTTACAATCTGTAACCCTAGTTAAATAATTATTTATAATATTATTTAGAGCAGTATAATATTATTATTATTATTATATTATTATTATTATTATTATATCTACAAGTCTTTATAAATATAATAATACTAATAATGATTATACTGCTCTAAATAATATTATAAATAATTATTTAACTATTTCACTAGGGTTACATATCCATTGAATAAACATTAGTATTTAATACATAAACTCACTGGCCACTTTATTAGGTACACTTGTCCAACTGCTCGTTAATGCAAATTTCTAATCAGCCAATCATATTGCAGCAACTAAATGCATTTAGGCATGTAGACATGGTCAAGAAGAATCAGAATAGGGAAGAAAGGTGATTTAATTGACTTTGAACGTGGCATGGTTGTTGGTGCCAGACGGGCTAGTACACTGTAAAAAATTAATCTTGAGCCTTGTGATTTTCATTAAAAAAATTGATGTGGTCATTACAAATAATATGCATATTTTCTTAAAAAAATCGTAACTCAAATAACCACTTGTTACAATTGAGGTATCCACAAGAGCATCTCTGAACACACAACACTTCCAACCTTGAGGCGAATGGACTACAGCAGCAGAAGACCACACTGGGTGAAACTCCTGTCAACTGAGAACAGGAAACTGGGGCTACAATTCGCTCACCAAAATTGGACAATAGAAGATAGGAAAACGTTGCCTGGTCAGATAAGTCTCAATATTTGCTGTGATATTTGGATTGTCGGGTCAGAATTTGGCATCAACAACATGAAAGCATGGATCCATCCTGCCTTGTATCAATGGTTCCTGCTGCTGGTGGTGTAATGGTGTGGGGGATATTTTCTTGGTACCATTTGGACATCATGTCAACGCCACAGCCTACCTGAGTTTTGTTGCTGAACATGTCCATACCTTTATGACCACAGTGTACCCATCTTCTGATAGCTACTTCCAGCAGGATAATGCGTCATGTCATAAAGCGCGAATCATCTCAGACTGTTTTCTTGAACATGGCAATGAGTTGTACTCAAATGGCCTCCACAGTCACCAGAAGTCAATCCAAAAGAGCACTTTTGGAAAATGGTGGAACGGGAGATTCGCATTATGGATGTGCAGCCGACAAATCTGCAGCAACTGCGTGATGCTATCATGTCAATATAGACCAAAATCCCTGAGATATATTTCCAGTACCTTGTTGAATCTATAAAACAAAGGATTAAGGTAGTTCTGAAGTCCAACAAGGTACTAGTAAGGTGTACCTTGGTGAGTGTACTAGTAGCTAATAAATAACTAGTGTCTATTTAATAGGAAGTGACATATAACAAATAACTACTAATATGTAATAGTAATAAATAATACTCTTATTAAAAAAAGCACTACTGGCATTATAAGTACGTTTTATAGAGAATAGTACAATTTTCTATGGACAGCATAGATCACATCACTCAAGTATTGTATATAAACACATCCACATGTTACCAAAGCTGTAAGTTAAAAGTGTCACTGACCGAGACAGAATCGTAGTAACAGTTTGGAGAAGGCTCAATGTCCAGGTGGTTGAAAGTCAGCTGGATCTGAAAGCCTTGTGGCACTTCTAAATCCCACTGTTTCTGGAGATCTGCTGGATATGGGTCAGGATACTGTGGAGAAGAAACCTCCCCAAACATGGCCAGATCACACTCACACACATTCACACATGCCCACAGCAGGCTGGTTCAGATTAGAAGGAATTCAGTAAATAAGGATATTCTGATAGGTGTCCACTGCAAATGTTAAATTAATCACACAACTGAATGTGCATTGTAATAAATGCAAATCTCAGAATTCAATATAAAAACAACTTACCAAATTATTAGATGTATTCCATCCATAACTGTTAGGCAGACATCAGTTTCACTAAACTATTAATGCAGTCATGAAGCTTTCTTGTGATAAAGTGAATGTGGTTAATCATGTATGAGAGATCAAAAGTCTAAAAGTCATCAAAAAGGTAAACTTGTTTGATTTGGCAAAAAGAGAGATGTGACTACTTTTCCCGTAAATGCTGCTGCGTTTTGGACCTGTTTACTAAAACAGAAAGGGTTAAAGTTCACACAGATCATTGTATGTGTATTTACTTTGTGGATTAATATTATCCATCAATGATTGTAAATATAACTAGTTTAAAAAAAAAAAACATAATTCCTAAATCTTAGCTGTTTGAGCTGAGATTCACTGTAGATACAAAAAAAAAAGTTCAGAGGACTCAACCAAAGTCAGGTTTGTTTGATTTGGCCGTAGAGAAAGGCTATTCTGGAAAAGCAACACTGCATGGCATAAAAAGCCAAAAATAAAAAAAGAGACACCTGACAAGCTTAACTCAGCCTCATACACACTTAGAAGAGTTCCAAAGGGGGATTCCGCCAGTGATGCCACAAAACCTTCTTTGAACATAAATTTTTTTGTAGTGTAAAGAACGTTTTAAAAATCATATAAAAAACTTGTTTGCACAAAAAATGGGATTTTAATGGAATCAACAATTTAATAAATTCTTTAATACAATTTTTCTTTAATAAAAACTTTATTTTTAAGAGTTTAATATACAAAAAAAATTATGGTCTTGTCAGAAATTTAATAAGAAATGGCTAAGTTAGGGATAAAGTACAATCAACTGGTTGTTATAACAGATTAAAGCCTGACAGGCTTATCAGCAGCCCAACGTGAAGTGAAGGACTGTTGTATGAGACTAAAGGGCTTTATTCTGTGAGAGCAAATGCACTGAATGTACTTTATCATGCTTATTACATGGCTAATAACAGCCATAATAGTTTAAATGCAAGTGACAGAAAACAAAAACAGCTGATGGAGTATACACTAACTTCCGCATTATTCAGCCACAAGATGCCACCAAATAGTCAAAAACGCAAAGCTAAGAGAAATGAAAGGAGTTGAATAAAGTATATACCAACCTTCAGTATGTGTTATTCATTCACAAGATGGCGCCAAACAGTCTAAAACAGTCAAAAACAGTGGTGTGACATGATGCATATGAATGTGGATGTAAGTATGTGAATGTTTTGACTGACGGCCAAGATGATTTAAAGTTCCCAGATGAGCCTGTGTTATTTAGTGGTTGTTATATCTGAACAATAAATTGTGGAATGTCTCGACTGACCAATCAGAATTGAATATTCCAGACAGCCGTGCTGTAATAATAGAAAATAAAGCCTGAATGTTTTATTACATTTAAAAATGGATTTATTGATGAGTATAAAACACTGACACATTTACATTTCAAAATATTGAATTAATTTTTAAAGGTGCAGATGCATAAAATGTATATTACACAATTGGATATTCCAAAGAGAAACTTTACTTCGTGATGCAATAAACATTTGTGTAGGTGAAAAAATATTTTAGCATGCTGATGTTAGTTAATTTCCATGGTTTGTTTAATCCAGTCCAGGTAGTTTTGGACTTTCGTATAGTAACCTTTAAAGCTTTCATCTCCACAATTAGGAGGACCCCAGGATACTATGCCTGTAAGACGATAAGGCTGGTCTGGGGACCCATTTCCCAGAGGAGGGAAAAACAAAGGACCTCCACTGTCACCTTTACAACTGTCTACTCTGTCTCCTCCAGCACAGATCATGTTATTGGTGACTTTTGAACCTCCCAATTTACATTCAACAAGTGGATATATCTGGACTGGACCATAAAGCAGATATCGACTCAAATTCTTTCTTTGTAGTCCTCCAAAACCTGAGACTGTGCCCTCCATCACAGCTTCGTCTCTTTTGTTTGGCAAGCACACCGGCCTGATGTTTGTACCTAGAGGCACCCTGGCAGACATTTTCATCAGAGCAATGTCATTATCAAAGTTTGTTTGGTTTTTTCCCAATTCAAGCCCAACTTTATTATATTTTGGATGAATGATTATTTTTTCAGTCACCATAGCGACTTGTTTTTCGTCCAGACCATCAGTTATTCCCCCTAACCAACTCATGGTTTTGCTTTCATATCCATCCACTACATGAGCAGCTGTCAGAGCCCAGTAATCACTGATCAGAGATGCACCACCTCTAGGGTTGAACTTATGTAAGAGCTGCCATGGAATCTGTCCTGGTTGTGCTGGCTTCCCGCCAAAGACTCTTCCACCAAAAGAGTCCTCTGTGTTCATTCCACATACTAAAAGATAGAGAGAGAGATATTAAGGAAGAGAGAAACATATAAAACATCTCCAAATATATTTGGGTTTATAGGTACATTCAGGATAAACGAGTACCTGGTTCACATTTAGGAAAATCTTTTGTTAAAATGTCACCATTCTCAGACACCCAGTTACCTTCGGCGTTGCATGTAAAAATAGCTAATGAAAGGAAAACAATAAAATAGAATTAAAACAATGATAAAAGACAAGGATGCAGAATTACATATTTGTTTGTTTAGAATTACTGTAATTCACATAAACCATACAAGTCTCACCATTTGTATCCAGTTGATAAAATTTAGATTTGCACTTGAGACTGATTTGTTTCATAAAAGTTGTTTGAGGATCATTTTCTGAGAGCTCCAATAATTCAAAATGTTCTGGAAAGCCACAATCTACAGCTGAGGAGGAAACAAGAAAAGTGTTGTTTTTTAATATTATGAAGTCATATATAATTCTAGGAATCACAGAAAGAGGGCAGAAAACAGAAATAAATTTTTTAAAGAAAAGGTTTTAAAACATTTTCTTACGTTCACAGGGGATAACCGGACTCCACTGTCCATTTTTCTGGCATGTGGATTCATACAGGTTCTTAACCTCAGCTAATTCACTCTGTGAAACAAAGTGTGACTTGCAGTGATTATTAAAGATTTGACTCTTAAACTACATGCTAAAGGCTATCATCTAGTTTCAGTCTCAAATGTCACACCCACGGATCGCTGATTAAGCATTAGCCAAAGAAACTAAAATACACTTCAGATGTTCTGAAGTTATCACCTGATTGGTTTAATTCTACAGGATGTCCATGTGTCACGTTATTGATTTAGTGTAAACAATACTTAACTCAGTAACATAGAACACTGACTTAAATAAACTCATAACAAACTGGGACTTTTCTAATACAGCAATAATAATGTTAATTCTATTACAAATTCAAGTTATCTAAAACACACTTTTTAAAACACAATGAACCTCAACAAATCCATAAAATTCAGCCATGGCCCTCCAGCAAACTGAATTTAAAATCATTAAGTCCGAAATGTTTGAAATACTGAAATACTTACTATTAATACATGTCCTTTGTCACATGTCACTGTAACTTTGCCATATGTGGGATATTCATGAAGCTGTGGCAACAAACTAGATGTTGGCGTCACAGGTCCAATACATTTCATCTCTGTAAGGTAGGAAATAATCACCACAATAACATCTAAATAAGCGTTGGTTATACATAAATATAAATTAATAATAATAATAATAATAATAATAAATAAGTTGAGATGAGTGGACCAATGAAATTAGTTTATTATTAATGGAACATTCTTATATATACTGTAGTCCCACCAATCCTTTTTATGCAGTATATGAAGTGTTTAGTTTTAATGATAGGAAAGACAAACCTTTAGTTTTATAACTAAGGCGAAACCCTCGGTTTGTTCCTTTATGGTCTGTCCTAAAAGTAATCTCAACACTCTCAGACCTTGTGAGAAAGGAAGAAGGAAGATCTTTTCCACAATATGTTTTAGCTTCACCAATGAGAGGTTTTATCTAGAAGGAATGCATAGAGAAAGAGAGAACAGGTCATTGAGGCGAAATACAAAGAGAAAGAGACAAGACTTTAAATGTTACGTACGGTTAATGAGTCAATGCACCGTCCATTGTCTGCCTTTTCCACGTCAAACGTCCCTGTGAACGTCAGCTCAAACTGCAGACCTTCTTCTACAGCCAGTTTGTAAGAGCACACAGAGTTTTCTGGATATGGACTGGGCCAGTGTGGCGACTTCAGCTCACCTTCTAGAGAGCCTGTGTAATTTTTACTACAGCTAACTGACATACAGAGAGAGAACAGTGTCACTGGTTCATTACGTATACTGTAGGGATTATGCATTACGGCTGTCAATAAGAAATTAAAATACCAGTTGTTTTAAAGTTTAGTTCTCGCTATCAACCAAACAATAACTACATCTTTTGCTTTAATAGACTCTTAATTTGTAGCTTATTATATTATTATTTTGTTTTGTGGCAAGTTTAAGTATTGGGTAGAGATGTAGAATATGATGCTGCAGTATATGTATTTTCATTCATTCATTCATTTTCCTTCGGCTTAGTCCCTTTATTTATCAGGGGTTGCCACAGTGGAATGAACCGCCAACTTATCCAGCATATGTTTTACACAGCGGATGCTCTTCCAGCTGCAACTCAGTTTTGGGAAACATCCATACACACTCATACACACACTCATACACTTAAGGCCAATTTAGTTAATTCAATTCACTTATATTATTATCACTTATATGTATTTGGAATGTGGGGGAAACCGGAGCACTAACCGGAGCACAAACCCAAGCCAACACGGGGAGAACATGCAAACTCCACACAGAAATGCCAACTGACCCAGCTGGGACAGCGACCTTATTGCTGTGAGGTGACAGTGCTAATCACTGAGCCACCGTGTCACCTATAATATGTCATTTATAAGTGCTAATAAACATCCATTATGCAGTATTAATAACAGGCTTACTAATAAGTAAGTTAAGAGTAAGAATCTGTCTCTTTTATTAAAGTATTAAAAAATTAAATATATGGCATGCTGGGTAACTAATTACATTTATCAGAATTTGCTGGAAAAAAGCCCTTTATCTTTAATCAGCCAAAACAAATCATTCTGAAAGCAATATCAAAGATATTGGCCCTTGGTGTTTACATTTTTATATACCCACAGAAAAGCAAATATTATTAAAGGTATAATGGAATACTCAATTGGGTGAATTCTGCTTTAGTTTTGTTGCTGTGCTGATGGCTTAGCACATTTAAATCTCCTCCAGATTGCTTTTGGTGTACTGTGGTGGCCAAGTGAGCTCAAATGGGCTGCAAGTTAAGAAACTAAATGCTAACAGAAATGCTAAATGCTAATATATAACTACAAACTGAGAAAAACATCTTCAACAGTTTGACAACACAAGTGCATGCAAATAGTGCAGGCCTTAACAGAAATGTTCCGGAGGTCTCCAAAAAGTAACGAACCCAGCAACTTCCTGTTTAGAGTCAGCGATAAAGTCGGAGATAAACAAGAACTTTGACCTCTCTGATCTCTTAGATATCTGACAATTCTGCTTTCACAAGTCCCCTAACCATTTCCATTGTGGTTCATTAATGCTATTTGTAGTACAATTTTGTATTTTGCATATGACATGGAATTAAAAATTTTTTAAATTTGAAATTTTTTTAATTTTGTGACAATTTCTTGCATAATATATTTGCACTAGGGCGAGGCAGTGGCGCAGTAGGTAGTGCTGTCGCCTTACAGGAAAGAAAGTTGCTGGTTCGAACCTCGGCTCAGTTGGCTTTTCTGTGTAGAGTTTGCATGTTCTCCCTGCCTTCTCGTGAGTTTCCTCCGGGTGCTCCGGTTTCCCCCACAGTCCAAAGACATGGGGTACAGGTGAATTGGGTAGGCTAAATTGTCCGTAGTGTATGAGTGTGTTTGTGTGTGTGTGTGTGTGTGTGAACGTGTGTGTGGATGTTTCCCAGAGATAGGTTGCGGCTGGAAGGGCATTATCTGCGTAAAAACTTGCTGGATAAGTTGGCGGTTCATTCCGCTGTGGCGACCCCGGATAAATAAAGGGACTAAGCCGACAAGAAAAATGAATGAATGAATGATATTGGCACTAAATCAACCCATTTAACTTGACAGCCACGGTAAAAATAAACGTCTCAAAACTGCACCCAAACGCAATGTTTATTACCTTGGCAGGTGTGATTATCAGAGTCCATAAAGTAACCTGGTCTGCAAAAACAACGATAACCTCCAATGTAGTTGTTGCAGAGTTGAGTGCACTCGTTCTCAGGGTCCTGACACTCATCGACATCTACAACACAGTAGGATTTGAGCTTAAGATAGAATAGCATTTACATTGACTCCGTTTACATGGACATCAGTAGCCTAATCAAACTATTGGACTTATCTGAGTAAGACAATAATATGATTAAGGCGTTAACATGAGTTGCTTTTTGAATGTTCCTTTCATGATCCCATTTTACATGTTATTGCATATAATTTGATTAACGTCATTGCGTCACCACGCTATGCACATTTCCTCCAGTTTCATGTAATTTTGAGTGCTTAATTTTTAATTTGTGGACTTTAACTGCAGTTTGGCACTTTCACTTTCATTCAGGAACATTTCATTCATGTCCTCTGCGACAAACAAGATATTGGATGCAAGTATGAACTGCGGTTTTAATGAAAATTCATTCTCGATGGGTGCAGAGAATAGTGCCAAACAGCTGTGTGTGTGTGTAGACTATCCTGTTGCAAAATGTGGCGAAAGTCTAACATGGCACTTATAATAACAATAATTTTGATTGCAGTGTTTACTTGTCTGTACTGCACTTCAGTAATGCGACTAAAATCGGCATACTCTACATGCCTTAATTCGATTTCTGTTTAGTTCAATTGTGTCTGTAATCGGATTTATCAAATATCGCTGTTTACATAGTAGACTCATAATCAGAGAATTGTTTTAATCATATTAAAATTGGACTATTGGTGTTCATGTAAACATACTCATTGACTCACAATCCCACAACTTTTTCTTCCCTTTAGTCAGTGAATGACTCATCATCTTTTACTAACCCCGAATAGTGTAAAAGCCTCGAAATCCAGTGTGTCTCTCAGGGTTTGAGTAGTCAGAGAGAAATGAAACAGAGAGACAACCGCCAGAGGAGGAGTGAAGGAAAGGGTTGACAGATGTCTGCAGCTCCTTCATGTTCATGCGTGCACACAGATTAACAAGAAGCTCCTCATCTGAAAATACCTGGACAATAAAATGCAGATAAACAGCAGTTAAATGGTTTGAGTTTTTTTAGTTTTTAAATTCCATAATTGTCAAAAAAAAAAAAAAATACCACAGTATTTTAAACACCTATATGAAAATGAGATAGAAATGTAGAAGGTTTTGAGGGAAGGACTACAATCTGTTGAATTAAAGTAACAAAAACTTATATTTGTATTGCATGCACAATATTATTAATAATGTCTTATAATGAAGATAATCTATTTTTTTAAATTATATAATTCATAAACTAAGTTTTTTGACAAGTTGAAGAAGCTTTTATCCATTTATCAATCAATCAATCAATCAATCAATCTATCTATCTATCTATCTATCTATCTATCTATCTATCTATCTATCTATCTATCTATCTATCTATCTATCTATCTATCTATCTATCTATCTATCTATCTATCTATATACAGTATATATTCATTCATTTTCTTTTCAGCTCAGTCGCTTTAATAATCTGGGGTTGCCACAGTGGAATGAATCAGCCACTTATTTAGCATAAGTTTTTACACAGCGGATGCCCTTCCAGCCGCAACCCATCACAATTTAGCCTGAGTATGTCTCGGGACTTGAGGGGGAAACCGGAGCACCCGGAGGAAACCCACGCGAACATAGGCAGAACATATATATATGGGTTATGGATGGGGGGGTGACTGAGGATAGATTAGATTGCAGATATAACTGAGGATGCGGCTGGTGAATGAGGTGTTGCAGACGCCGCCCTCTCTATTCTGCCGCCCTAGGCACGGATATAAATCAGGACGCGGGTGGTGAGGGAGGTGTCGCGGGTGCCGCCCTCTCTATTCTGCCGCCCTAGGTGGCCACCTAGGTCGCCTCTATGGACGCACCGGCCCTGCATACAGTGCATCTGGAAAGTAGTCACAGCGCCTCACTGTTTCTACATTTTTTATATATATTACAGCCTTATTCCAAAATGGATTCAACTAATTTATTTCCTCAAAATTCTACACACAATACCCCATAATAACAATGTGAAAAAATTATTGCAAATTTATTATAAATCAAAAAACTGAAAAAAAGCACATGTACTGAAGTATTTACAACCTTTGCTCAATACTTTGTTGATGCACATTTGGCATCAATTACAGCCTCAAGTCTTTTTGAATATGATGCCACAAGCTTGGCATACTTGTCTTTTGGGTTTGGCCCATTCCTCTTTGCAGTACTCCTCAAGCTCTATCAGGTTGGATAGGAAGCAATGGTGTAGAGCCATTTTCAGATCTCTCCAGAGATGTTCAATAGGATTTGGGTCTGGATTTTGGCTGGGCCACTCAAGGACATTCATGAGTTGTTGTCAAGCCACTCCATTAATATTTTGGCGGTGTGTTTTGGGTCACTGTCCTGCTGGAAGATGAACCGTCACCCCTGAGGTCAAGAGCACTCTGAAGCAGGTTTTCATTCAGGATGACTCTGTACATTGCTACATTCATCTTTCCGTCTATCCTGACTAGTCTTCTAGTACCTGCTGCTGAAAAACATCCCCACAGCATGACGCTGCCACCACCATGCTTCTCTGTAGGGATGGTATTAGCCCGGTGATGAACGATGCCTTGTTTTTCCTAATGTAACCCCTGGCATTCACTCCATCAGACCAGAAAATTTTGTTTCTTATGGTCTGAGAGTCCTTCAGATGCCTTTTGGTAAATTCCATGCGGGCTTCTATGTGTCTTTTACTTAAGGAGTGGCTTCTGTCTGGCCACTCTACCATACAGGCCTGATTGGTGGATTGCTGCACAGATGGATTTCTCACCACAGAAAAATGCTGGAGCTCAGACTGAGTGATCATCGGGTTATTGATCACCTCCCTGACTAAGGCCCTTTTTCCCCCAATCACTCAGCTTAGATGGCCGGCCAGCTCTAGGAAGAGTCCTGGTAGTTCCAAACATCTTCTACTTACGGAAGATTGTTCACATTGGAACTTTTAGAAAAGCAGAAATTTCGCTCTAACCTTCCCCAGCCTTGTGCCTCGAGACAATCCTGTCTCTGAGGTCTACAGACAATTCCTTTGTCTTCATGCTTGGTTTGTGCTTTGACATGCACTATCAATCCTGGAACCTTATATAGACAGGTGTGTGCCTTTTCAAATCATGTCCAATCAACTGAATTTACCACAGGTGAACTTCAATTAAGCTGCTGAAACATCTCAAGAATGATCAGTGGAAACAGAATGTACATTAGCTCAATTTAGAGCTTTACGGCAAAGACTGTGAATACTTATGTACATGTAATTGCAACAATTTCAAAAAATCCTTTTTCACATTGTCATTATGGGGTATTGTGTGTAGAATTCAGTAAATAAATTAATTGAATCCATTTTGGAATAAGGAAAAAATGTAGAAAAAGTGAGGCGCTATGAATACTTTCTGGATGCACTGTATGCTACCAAACCTGATTGGTTAAATAGATAAAGCAAATTTTATTTAAATTTACCATTGTAGACAGTACAATAGACATTACAATGTCAATTTCAGATTTTTTTGGTGTTAACATGTACGTATACAAATGTTTGATAATTGAATAACCAGTTTTGACTGTGATGGCTTACATGATGACACATGATTAAGAGTTTAAATGAGAATAGATTCATCAGTTTTGATTAACAAGGCTTATGCAATTGTTTTTTGTCCAATCTACAGGCAACTGTACTTAATGTTTGCAGACATGTGCCAAGACATTTGCAAGTTGCTTAAATCAATAAGAAATGCCACTCTGAAGTGAACAATGAGCATCTAAACTTACTGTTTTGAAGAACAAAAAAATTCAATCGAGAATTGAGCATAAGCAATTGAGAAAAATTGTAATCTGGAAAAGTGCAAAACACTTTTTTTCACAGTGCGTACATTTATTTTGACAACACTTTCAAATAAAACTGCGTATTTAAAAAGTTTATAACACCTACGTACAAACCATGTGTAAAAAAAAAAAAACTTTTTCTAACACACACACCTTCAAGGCGTCATCTTCACAGTTAAAGCTTTCCTCCAGGTCTACATGTGTGAGAGTGAGTGTGATTCTGTGTCCAGCCGGAGCACACTCTTTCCAAGTCATATTGGAATAAGGTTCATAACCTAGTGGATGTCCAGGGGACTGAATCCATCCAGACAATGGCACTGACCCACACAGGGGAAAGAAAAGGGAAATCACACTGGACAGAAAGAAGAAACATCAGCAGGAAGCAACTTCATTATCAAAAACAAGGATAGATAGACAGACAGACAGACAGACAGACAGACAGATAATCAATGGAACATTTTGCTTGATAAACTGCAGCAGATAGAGAAAAACACATACCAGAAAGCAATCATGATGCGAAGTGTTGAAACATAACTGGATCCCTCCTCTTTCTGAACTTTCACTTTCATGCTCTGTGTGGATCATAATGTCCAACCCCTTTTCTCCTAAAAAAAAAAACATGGAAGTACTTCTAACTGAGTGTTTGTCAACATCTGTTAGTGGGCGTTTACTCTAGACTGAATAATTTGGTGAGCAGAGATTCCTCAATTTAATGGCTGTTTCAGATAAACCATTGTTGTCTGCAATATGCAAATGGTTTTGTGGTTATTGTATGTAAAATATACATCTTCTATATTTGCTTAATTGTTTTAACAAATTGGGTTGAGAATCACAGCTTTAGAATAGAAATTTAACATGGTTATACGATGAAAAGGATGTTTTCAAGCATTAAAATAATAAAAGTGTCATACTTTTATATGTAATATGTAAGAATGTGTCCTCTTTTCAAGCAAACATGATTGATTGCTGTACATTTCACCACAGTTTATAGTAGACACCCATTGAAATATCATCCAGTATAACAATAATTTATATAATAAGCGTCTTTAGAATTTTTGATGAACATACTGCAGCACAAAAATACTAATTAAATGGCATTTTAAATATTTACACGTTGCCAATCACCTTCAAACAACCAGGGTTTACTCATTTATCAGCAAGAAGTTGTTAATCATTAAAAACTATAGTTTTAATAAGGTCACAATTAGTTTGCTGCTTTATTTTCCATAAACATATATAGTAGACCTATAAGTTACATTTGTTCACCAGTTTTATGTTCAAGGTTTATTTCTAAACTTTAAAGTGCACATTACTAGCATTTGATACGCATTTCACTTTAAAAACTAACATACACGGTGTGTTTCTATGGATCTTACTACCAAAGCCAGAAATATGCTGTAGTTTGAGATAACAAAGAGCACGTACGCCATCTGGTGTCGAAAATGAAGAAGAAAGAAAAATGAGGGGTGCAGACGTAATGTAAAGACATAAGAAATCAAACGAGAAAAGAAAAGAAAAGTAAAGAAAAGAAAAGAAAAGAAAAGAAAAGAAAAGAAAAGAAAAGAAAAGAGGGAAGTGGTGAGAGGGAAAGACAGATGATAGCTGGAGGAAGAAGAGGTTATCAGAACTGCTTGAATTTCTTCCAACCGACATTTACTGTAACAAGCACACAAAAAAGGTCAAACGGTGTCACTAAACATGTTTCATTGCGTTTTACAGCACTCAGTGCTCTGGTCTCTAACAATTCACACTTCACATTTACTGTAATGCAATAGCATGTAACAACAGTACACAACCTTTGCTAATAAATGAGACTAATCATACTACATTACCAATTACTCATAGATTGTTGTCATAGATTTGTTTTTGTTTTTTATAGAACCTACAAATGAAGCAAATTTTCAGCATATCAACACCAGACAAAGGAAGTAAAACAGAAAGTGTTTCATTAACACAAAAAATAGGAAAGGAAGTATAATGGTTCACTATTACAAAGAGAAGTCCAAGCGGAGGCCATGAATCCCACTTTTATTGTTGACTAGATCATCAAAAAAAAAAAGTTACACCATTTTATTTTTTGTAGTTATTACATTTTATTTCTATCTGAACAAAATCATTAGATTATTTTATCATTGATTTTTTTCAGTTTAGGTTTCTCTTCAGGACCTACTGTAGGATCTAATGTAATGGTTGTCGAGATACTGCATTATATAATCATACATACAAAAAAAGTAGTGTATTTACATTAAAACATTAAGTAAAAAAAAAAACTTTGAAATCCATCTCAAGGTTTATTTCATATTTTGGGCCCCAATTGTATCAAATTTGCAGAAATCTGCAGTATGCATACTTTACTTTACCTTACATAACTTTACCACATAACATTTAAAGTGCATCATAATATTACACCAACACTGCTCGTGCTATAGCAACTTTATTTAACATGTTTTTTTTTCATATCTCAAGACTAATTAATACCACTAAAATATTTTGTTTCCTTTTTCATTTATGCATGAAGCTTAGCTCTTTTCTATAGAGACAACATCCCTCATATGAGAAAATAATAATAAAATAGCCTATTCAATATTGATATGTAGATGGATTTGTGTGCCAGCTCTCACATCAGAGAGTACAGTAATGAAGTGAAACTCTCTGTTCTACAGTTCAGACCAAATGAGGAAGAGTAGGAACACAGTCGCACACACACCCACGCACAACACAATGATTGTACTGCACTGTCTTCCACAAAAGTATCTGTGGTTTTTCAAGTCGTATCTCACCTTTTCTGACATTTAGCATGTGTATGGCATGCAATGTAACATTTAATCTATAAAGATGATAGCATTTAATGCCATGCTACAATTATTTTTAGCCGTCTAATACATTTTTAAAAGATAATAGTAATTCATAGTTCTTATTCATTATATACTAAAACTCAGACATTACATTTTCATGAGATAGTACTAGTTTTACTATCTAAAAACTAGTATGTCATAAATGAAGAACAAAGAAGAGAATATGGTACAGATATGTAATAAATAATTTCTAATATGCTATTATTCAATGCTAGTTTCTAACAGTAGAATCTAAACAAATAATTACTGATGACTAACTACTGTTTTAAAAATGTGTTGTACTGACAAAAACTGAATAATTGATATCTCAATGAAAGATCCCTTTGGATAACAATTATATAAATACATAAATTATAGTAGTACATTCATTCATTCATTCATTCATTCATTCATTCATTCATTCATTTTCTTTTAGCTTAGTTTCTTTATGCATCAGGAGTTGCCACAGCAGAATGAACCGCCAGTTATCCAGCATATATTTTACTCAGCGGATGACCTTCCAGCCGCAACCCAGAACTAGGAAACATCTATACACACTCATTCACACACTCATACACTAAGGCCAATTTAGTTGATTCAATTCCCCTATTCCACATCATGTCTTTGGACTGTAGGGGAAACTGGAGCACAGAAGAAACCCACTCCAACACAGCGAGAATATGCAAACTCCACACAGAAAAATGCTAACTGATACAGCCGGGACTCAAAGCAGCAACCTTCTTGCTGTGAGGCGACAGTGCTAACCACTGAGCCACCCTGTCACCCCTATAGTAGTATAAACTGAAAAAAAAACTCTGAATCAACTTTTAAAAAACTGTAATTTTATACAGCTAAATTTATAAATTTCCCTCAAATTGTAGTTTTAACTGGGTTAAAACTGAAAAATGTAATTTAATATTAATCAAAATATTTATTCTGCCCAATTGGAAAAACTACATTCACTCAAAGGTAAAATGTTGTTTATATATAAATCATGAATTAATTGAATCAATTTGGTTCACCATATTCCTAGTACTAGGTTGCAGCTAGAAGGGCAACCATTGTGTAAACACATGCAGGATAAGTTGGCAGTTCATTCCACTGTGGCCATGAACCCCAATAAAAAAAAAAAATAAAAAAAAAAAAAAATATATATATATATATATATATATATATATATATATATATATATATATATATACAGTGGCTCAGTGGTTAGCAACAAGTTAACTCGTTCGAGTCCCCACTGGGTTAGTTGCCATTTCTGTGTGGAGTTTGCATGTTCTCATTTTTGTTTGTATGGGTTTCCTCCGGGTGCCCCAGTTTCCTCCAAAGTCCAAAGACATGCGGTATAGGTGAATCTGGTAAACAAAACAAAAAAGACTGATTTAATTTGATTTGACTTAATATCAAAATCCAAGTAAAATTGTACCATGCACTAAACTGAAATAAATACCTATAATGTTACTTTATATTCCATAATGAGGTTTTGACCTTTAAATGGCTTTTAAAAAATGAAAGCTGCTTTTAATCTGGCTTTTAATCTGGCTGAAATAATCTTTCTCCATAAGAAAAAATATTGTCATTTAAAGAGAAAAAAATTTAAAGGAGGTAAAATAATTCGGATTTCAACTGTAACATTATTTTCATTTATTTTCTTTTCAGTTTAGTCCCTTTATTAGTCCGGGGTAGCCACAGCGGAATGAACCGCCAACGTATCCAGTATATTTTTAATGCAGTGGATGCCCTTCCAGCCGCAACCCATCTCTGGGAAAAATCCATACACACATTTACACACACTCATACACTATGGTCAATTTTAGCATACCCAAATCACCTGCATGTCTTTGGACTGTGGGGGAAACCGGAGCACCCGGAGGAACCCACACGAACACGGGGAGAACATGCAAACTCAACACAGAAATGCCAACTGACCTTGCCGAGGCTTGAACCAGCGACCTTCTTGCTTTGAGGCACTCTGCCACCGCGTCGCCGTAACAATATTTTATTTTCAATAATAAGGTAAACTATCTTTTATTTTGCCTATAAATGTCATACAAGATGGTAATCAAACTCACATTATATGAAAACTGAAGAGCACATAGATAGTATTTGTAAATGCTAGTTTAAAGTAAAAATACTTTGAGAAAAAGTAATGATTTTAATTCTTCCTGTGTGGGTGGGGTGTGGTTTGCTTTAGGGCAAATTGAATAAACCCGGGTAAAACCAGAAAACATAAATTTTCACTTGATCCAATTTAAAATGCACTTTGAATGAAAGACACAGTGGTTTGACTTTTTTCACTCTATAGTAGTTTCATTATCTCAAACATTTTACAGTTTAATTAGTCAGAAGAGCATTTAAAGCAGCTAAAATCAGTTTTAACTTGTCCTAATGTTGACAGCTGCTGTACTCAATACTACTTCTAAAATCTTTAAACCCAGCAGCTAAATGTAGGTAAACTGAGGTATCATAGTGGTGTTGACTTTTTACTCTCTTTGTCTCAGGGGTTTAATGCATTGCAAAACAGGAAGTAAGGACTCTATGCAAGCAAAAGTGCAGAGAGGGTGGATGGGGCTTTCCGATGCAGAGGGTAGAAAAAGAGCAATAGAGGGGGTTTAGAGTGGGTGACGTAAAACAGCAATCGAGGGGAAAGAAAAAAATTGTTCCCCTGCCTGCAGCAGATGAACTGAGATGTAAATACTAAAAGACAGAGAGAACAAAAGTGACAGAGAAACCGAAGAGACAGAAGAAGACAACTGACGCAATTGTGTGGGCCAGTGTGACTACATCAAATTCCCAATAACATAAACAGAAGGATCGAGACATCACGTCAAGCTTCAAGTGACCATGATTAATGTGTAAGCCAACAGACCTTGTATGACTGCACAAAACTCTTCACACTGAACGCATCGAACTGAGACAACTTTTGACCACGGCAAGATGGGAGACGATAAATGCCAAAAATGTCCGAAAGGTGAGATTTTCATATCATTACAAAAGAACGATTTGAGAAGACCTGGGATTTCTGTTTAAATCATTTGCAACTTAGAAATACTTACACTCTTTTCACTATTGTGTGACAAATATCAGTTTTTAAATTCCAATCTGTCTCATCCCTTTGTTGTGTGTCCCAAATTACAGAGTTTCTGGAAGAAAATATTCCAGTTTTTTTTTTTTGCAGATACATTAGACATTATGATTAAACCAGATCCTATATTAATTATATTTGAAGTTTCCGAAGAATTTATGAGACGTAAACAGTTTCAACAACAGTTTGTTTCATATGGGTTGATCTGTAACAAAAAAATTATCCTTTTGTTTTGGAAAAGAAGTTCCAACTCTTAAATAATGGCTGACAGAGCCCTATAGACAAGGTTTTGTTATTTGAAAAAATTGGTCCCCTTTTATTTCCTTTCTACAAACTTGTGATTAATATGTTTACTATTCCTTCAGTACCTACTTTTACTATTGGATAGCACTGGTGGATGGGTGGGGAAATGCATGTTTATTGTTTTTGTTTAATTATTAATTAATTATAAATAAAGTTTTATTTTTATATTTTTTAAAAAAGTGTATTTACAAGTTAATGTCTGCTAAGAATTTCTAATAATAACAATATTTAAACCACAAATACTTACACTCTTTCAAATACAAGTTGTTTATTGGCATTGATGGTTCCATGAAGAACCTTTGACAGCTGGAACCTTTGCATTGCACAAAAGGTATTTGTACCATGTAAACAATTAACGGTTCAATTAATGTGTATTTTAACAGAAACTTTTAGTAGCTGATGATTTTGGGTGCGTTGATTTTTGAAATGCATTATAGAACGAACTTGATCTCCGACGTGACAACCCTAGATACAGAAAATACAGTACATTTTATGATACGAGAAATGCTTTCAGTTCTTTTTGTTATTTTATATGAGCTTTTAGACAATGTTATAAAAACAAAAAGCTGCTCAGATTATTAAAAGCTGAAAAAAAGGTTCTTGTTGCATTACATTTTTGGAACCCAGAATGGTTCTTCTTTAGCACTGCTGTGAAAACCCACTCTTGGAAACATGATTTTTAAGGCTATACCAATTAATTACAGTACATTTTGCGGAATTATATGCAAAAATGCTGATCCTTAGCAAAGAATGTTAACAAACTAGCTGTTTATTAGAACTGATCTGCTTTACTGCTATGTTTTTTTGATGACATGATTTGGAAGCATTTGTCTTGTGTTCTGTGCTAATTTAATAACACAACTTGCCAACCAGCTGACTGGAAGGCAGTGTTTTTTTAAGCAGCATATTGTTTTCATCAATGTCTAATTAACCCACTGCTACTGTATGTGCAGGAAATCCTGTAACCCTGCTAACAAAAGAGGGGTTCCTGGAAATTACGAATGAAACACTTGATATTCTAAATCTATTTAAAGTTAATGACACATTAGGTGGGCTAAACGTATTATTGTATATGTGGAACAGTCTAAAACAAAAAGACATGCTAACACACAAAGACCGGCTAACTTTGAAACTATATAATTTAAAATGAACACAAAAAGTAATTAAGCATTTCTTGGCTCGTTGGTGGATTAAGGTTAAACAGGATTTTCTGCTAAGACATGTTAGAACTTGAAGCTAACTCGAATTCTAAAAAGTATCTGTTGCTTTATAATCATTAAGCTCATTTGTTCAACTTGGTTTGGTTGTTTTTATTTTAATCTGCCACTAAAAAACATTAACATAATAATTTATTGTGTTTTTTTATCAATAAAACTCAAAAGTGTTGAATATATTTCGCAAATACATGCTAAAGTTGCTTCATTAAAGAGATAGTTCATCATTTACTCTCCCATCACTTCTCACAAACCTGTTTGACTTTAACACAAAGCAAGGTATTCTGAAGAAAGCTAGAAACCGGTAACTGTTGACTTTCATAGTATTTGTTCTTTCTTCTATGGATGTCACTCCCAGTTTTCAGCTTTCTTCAAAATATCTTCCTTTCTTTGTGTTTAAAAGAATAATGAAAGTAATAAAGTTATGGAGGGTGAGTAAATTGTGAGTATTTATTTTATTTTGGGTGAACTATCCCTTTAAATAATAAAAAAACAGATTTTTAAAAAGTTTAAAAATATATATTTTAATAACTTTGCTCTCTTCCTTTTTTAGGAAAATTTATGCGTGCCAGATGTAACTCATCACAAAGTACAGTGTGCGAAACCTGCCCTCATGACCAATTTATTGACGTGGAAAACAGGATGACCGAGTGTCGGCCCTGCAGAAAGTGCACCAGCGGTAATTTCACATTCATTTACTCTCATTATGATTTACTTGACATTATGCATTTAACCTCACATGTGTCTTTCAGGGAGTAATGTTTGTGTGTGTGTTTAACAGGCAGCCATCTGGTGGTGCAAAAGGAGTGTCAGGCAGACAAAAACACCCAGTGCAAGTGTGAATCAGGATACTACTGTAAACACTTAAGCGATAATGATAACGATTCCTACTGTGATCATTGCACTTCAATCTCCACCTGTCCTCTGGGGCAAGGGGTCGCTATTCAGCGTAAGTTTTTTAACGTTTTTATTAATGTGATCCAAATATTACCATTCGTTTATGAAGAACCCATATTTTAAAAAGTGACTATTGTAAATAAAAGTGTTAACATATTATAGATGAAACTACAGTATATTCAAATCTGCACTTTTAAAATTATTTAGTATTTTAGTAATATATTTAACTCTTACAATAGAAAAAATTGAGGGACCAGAATTTATTTATTTTGTCTTGATTTACTCTGTATGTTTATGAATAAAATATTCCTCTTTTTTCTATTATATAAACATCTTATGACATTTCCTCTGAATTTTAATAGAGATATAGTATTTAGAATATTTATTGATTGACTGATTTATTGACTGACTGACTGACGGATGGATTGATTGATTGATTGATTGGTTGGTTGCTTGGTTGGTTGGTTGGTTGATTGATTGATTGATTGATTGATTGATTGATTGATTGATTGATTGATTAGCCTTTTATGGGTAAGTGACATTCATATAATGTGTAATATATACATTGTATAATCTACTACAGTGTTTCCTAATCCCGCTCCTTGCACCTACAATCTGCCTATTTTGCATGTCTCTCTTATTTAACCCAGCTGATTAGAAGAGCTCTGTTCTTCTGACTGACAAATTCAATACAAAGTGTGCATTCTTTCCTAGTCCCTTCTCCTTTACTGCGCTCTACCAGAGCATGAGAAACCTTTGTCACTTTGAAACATTAGTTCACAGATTTAAACAACAGCACTTCTTCTTACAGGAGAAGCATTAAGTATGACAAAATATACCACCATAAATAAATACAACATAAATTCACATAACACAATCTAAAATGTCAACTGAATTAAACATGCGCCTAATCAAACTGAAATTATCTTGTGGAATCTACTTTGTAGGACTCTTGTTGTTGAATTAGGACAAAAGTCTGATGTGAAAAGAGAAACATACAAAAATGTGCAGTGTGATGGGGCGTAAGGACCGGGATTGAGAAACACTGATCTAACATTTCAAATGTGACTTTTGAAATCACTGAGCATAAGGACTACAAAAATTGTCAGATTCATAAAGCACTCTATATTAGTCTGTTCATTATTCAACGTCATTCAAAGCTTTACAGTGTCTATAGAAAATCATCAAACCCTTTTGAAATAATGACTTTATTTGTCATACAGCCTGAAATCAAATCATATTTGAAAAAACTTTTCCAGCCTTTGACATGTTTTTGTAGCCTTACCCTGATCTGTCTTTCTACAACTTTAGTTGAGTAAAGGTAAAGGTATAGAGTTTCACAGGGTATGATGATTTTCTATAGACACTGTATCCTATGCCGTTTGGAGTGTAATTACTCTCAACGGAAAAATGAAACTAAATAGACACAACAATTTAGCGTGTGAACATGATTATACACACTTTTGCCACAATATCCACAGTGAGTCACATAATGACAATCAGTTGAATTGCAGTATGCGCTAGTGGTTCTACCTGTGAGAAGATCAGTGGTGGTCTGAACCACTTTCACAGTGTTTGGTCTGGAAAATGTGGCAGAGGGACCGCTGAATAACTGAAACTGTTTTGCAGACACACCCACAACTGACACTGTATGCAAACCCTGTCCTGAGGGCACCTACAGTGATAAGGTGGACAACTGGTCCAGCTGCAAAAATCACACAAGGTAAGGGTCAGTGATTAAAATCAGGAGTAAAAAATATTATTTACAACAGGATGTGCATTTTTATGTGTATTGAGCAAAAGAAGTTTGCTGTAGGACACAATTAAAACAACTTTGAAGTCAATTCGTAACAGCTGAACGTAACAGTTGTTGTAAGATTTTAAGGGCTCTTATTTTGTTATTACGAATAAACCGGACCCGAAAATCCTGTTATTTTTGTGCTTTCTTTTGTAATTTGTTTCGTTAATAATTATTATTTCATAATCAGACAGTGTGGGACTGTGATATATAATGATAAAATGTGTTTTTATTATTATTAATTTCAAGAAACTGTATAATAAAACTTAGAATACAGTAAAAGAAAACCGTTCTTTTAGACGATATTCACATTAGATACACAGGATAAAGAGCAAAACAAAAAAGTACATTAAAAAAATAATAAAAGAAATGAGAGTGCAAAGGAAAAAAGTGCAATAAAAAAGATTTTAAAAAATCAATTAGCAAGAAAGATCTGATCATATTTATTCAAAAAGGAAGCACATTTCTTATTATCAATTAATCTAAGAGATTTATTTAAATGTTCTATTTCACATAAGAAGTCTAAGTATTTCTATTTGACTTTTTTAAGGAACCTCTATTTGTGAAAAGAATATTTCCCAGCAAGTATAAGACAGTTCACAATGGCTTGTAACAACTTGTTTTGGTTTTCAAAATAACAAATAACATTCTTAAGGAACAAATTACCACTCATACTAACCTTGGAAAAGCAATATGAACTTAAATCATTCCAAAACAGTGATGATACATTGCATGAAAAAAAACAAGTGACAAATGTCTTTAGACTCATTCCTACAAAATGTGCAAATATCAGTAACATCGCAATATTTGAATAAAACTGCATTACATGGGTAAATATAGAGCAAAATTTTAAAGTGCACCTCTTTTATTTTATTAGGAATACAAAATGTATATGATAATAACCATGTTTTCCTCCACTGAATGTTAAAAATTATAGAACCCCAAAAAAACTTTCCTCTAGTAGTAATTGAGTTTTGTGACTGAATGGGACAATTGACGTATGAATTTATTATTGCATTCTTTACTAAGAATAGATTTTCTTCCTAGGCAAAACTGTGACAGTTGTTTGTAACCTGCCTCATAACCATGAGCTGTTTTCATCAGACATACTGTAATCCACTAGGTATAGCCTTTATAATTGACTTAAATTCCATATAACGAACAGGGAATTGATTAATATTTATAAAACTCTTATAAGTTAAGAGATTCCCCTCACGATTAAAAAGATCAGAAACAACAATGTTTTTGATGAACTAATTATCCCCCCCACCCCCTCCCTTTTGTGGGGTGAGTAATTGTGGTTGTAAATCAGTTTCCAGGCTAATAGAGCTTGTTGATGGAACAGCTAATTTAATAGGTAATTTATTAGTGGAGTAATTGCACTTCATTAAAAAAAGGCTATCAATCTTTTGTTAAGAGAAAAATACCACATGAGTTCTGAACCAAGCAAACAATTCTTTAGCCAAATGATTTTAAATGTATTATTAGTGTCATCAAAATATAGGACTTCAAGACCTCCCTCACTCCTTTTATTTGATAACAAGTTTCTTCGATTTGTGAGGCTTATTATTCCAAATAAAAGCAAGAAAAACTTTATTAATATTTTTAGAAGGATGATTATCTAATGCAAAAAAAAACGTTCAGTTCAGTTCTTTGGCGCTGTATCATAATACGCAGTTTATGAGCGACTTAAAAAAAATCTACGTTGACTAGAATGACCAGGGTGCTTTAGACTTAGCTTGCCTTGCCTGACCACATGCATTGATTTATTGCTTTATTAAATGACATTTAAAATCTAAGCTAAGGTTTGACAAAGCATTGGTTGTCAAAAAGATCAGTTTTATAAATTACCTAAATATTTACCACAGAAATGGCTTTAATCGACCAATTTAATAGTCAATATGTTGTTCTTAGCTGTCTATGCCATTTTAAGTGTAATTAATCTGAAGACCGGGTTAAAGACTCTGGATGGGACAATTTATGTAGTTTAAGCACAATGTTAATAAATACGAAATCTAAGGCTTCATAAAACATTGTGATTGAATTGTCACGTGAGCAATTAAAGCCTCAAAAGCACATGTTTAGGTTAGAAGATTAAGAAAACCAAAAAAAATAAAAATTATACACTAAAAACATAATGACTAAAACTGTAATGATCTTGTTGTGACACTAGAATCACATGCTTCTTACTCAGTTATTACAGAACATCCAAGTTACAAACAACTTGTCTTCTGCTTTGCATTAACCAACTAACAGTAATACGTTTTTGTAATGTATTACCTTTTTCTAATCCTCTTGATAAATTACATAAACTTGTTTTTGTTGCTAGTTCACATTAACAAATGTAGTTAAAAAACATCAAAGCTTATTGATGTCTGGTAAATTTCTGTACATGTACACATTTTCCTTCTTAGACCTATAGTGCCCCCCTTTTCCACCTCCCTCATCTTAGAAAATGAATAATAACTTTTATCTAATGAACCATTGCCAGTTTCACGTAAATATGTATTTTATGTCACTCTCCCACTCAAAATACAACCGCATTAATTTACTTCCATTCAAAAAAGAAAAAAGAAACGCTTGTAGATGTATATGTGGGAGGGTGGGTGGTTATTACTTCCTTTCTCAACCTCTCTCTCACAGTACAGAAATATTTTTCTTTCCCTTTTTAAATACAGAATAGGGCTGCACAATATATCAATTGAGCATCGATATCACGATGTGATCATTCACAATAGTCACATCGCAATAGTCACAATGTTGAGTTTGTATTATAATTCATCATTTGCATGTGTTTTGATGCTTGTAATTGTATAATGACCTTAAAAGCATTTAGGCATAATAAACTGTACCATTTGTAACTTTAACTGTGATTAATTTGATTGAATTATTTAATTTTTATCATTCAGTTTCTGTACTGAAATACCTTTAGACTCGGAAAACATGATAAAACACTTTATTTCAATTGTTTCTTTTTCTTAATTGTATTTATAGATGGTATACATGAAAATACAGCACATGCAAATACTGTAATGCACTGCAAATAGCACAGATATCATCGAAAATGTGTCAGGGAACCCTATAAAGTGTCTAGATTGTTTATTAGAGTTTACGGAGATGCACTGCCACTGCAGAATCATCCCAATCCATCTAATATTATAGATTCTTTCCAAATAGAGATATTCAAATTATCTGGTGAAATTGTTTTTTTCATATCGCATTTTTTCAATATCGTGTAGCCCTAATATAGAATATGCATGTATAAAGAAAGATATTATTATACTTATACACACTTTCCTTAGCTCAGTCTGTATATAACCCTCTTCTCTCATTTTACAGTTGTGATGATTTGGGTCGACAAGAGAAAATTCCCGGTACCAACATATCAGACGCTCAGTGTGGAGATTTTAAATGTAATATAAGTGAGTCTTTATGACAGTACTTGGGGAGAGAAAACAATATTTAGTAACTGTCAATTAATGCTTAATATTAAGAAAAAATGAAACTGACTAATGTATTTCTTTGTCTTCCTTATCTCAGCTTGTTCTTGGGCCTTACCTGCTAGTCTGTGGACAGGATTTGTGCTATCTGTCATGGTTGTATTTTTAGCCCTGTATATAATTTATTGGAGAAACAAACGGCGGTCAAAATCATTAGGTAAGTAACTGGTTTACTTAATGTGATTTATCAATAAGTCTGCACTATATCTGTAATGTGAGGGATGTTGACAGCGGAGTTGAGAATTCAAATGAAGGTTTATTATAAGAACAGTCAGGCAACAGGGTCAAACAGGTACATGCAGGAAAATCAAGGAAAGTGGTCAAATAACAAGCGAATGGCAACATAAACAAACAGAATAAAGCAAGGGTCAACCATAACAAGACTAGACAGGCCAAGGCAAGGCAGGGCAAGGTAAGGTAAGGTAAGGGTAAGGTAAGGTAAGGTAAAGTAAGTCGAAAGGAAAAGAAAGGAACTGCAACGTTATGTCACAGAACAGTAAAACAAGACTCAGCACTAGTGTGTGTGTCCGTGCTGCTTTTAAAGTCTTATTAGTTCTAAACAGCTTCAGCTGTGTATGTTAGCAATCAGCGGAGATCTGAAACAGGTGTGTAAGTGAAGTGCATGATGGGATATGTAGTTCATTAAAGTGGCAGATTTGAAGTTCAGGCTGGATTTTGGATTTGAAGTTCAGTTCTTGCACAGGCTGGATCGCTGGTAACCGTGATTATCTTATTATCTTACTAATTTTTATCACTGACAAGGGTGTGAGAAAGCATGCAATCTTACAAGAGAGAGAGAAGAGATGTTACGCAAAATGGCCAAATACCATGTGTATTTCTTAACAAATAAAACATGTGAATCATAAAAGTATAAAATGACCATCATTTGAACCATTTAAAGGCCTTTATTCTGAAGGGCCCAATGAAATGGCATATTTAGAAATGACCATTCTCAGAAATTAGTCATTTCCTTTTGAAATGATCCTTCAATTCTAGATTCTTCTTCTAGTCTAAGATTGTTCTCATTCTGAAAGAAAGAGCATAGCACACATACAAAATGATTTACAAATTTAACATAAATATAATATATTAGTAATATAATAAGACACATACACTTTACAATGGCACACCTTAAAGACCCAGATGCAATTAAAAAAGAAATTAAACTGTTTTATGGAGTTTTTGTTTGCTAAAGTTAAAACATTTGTTGCCAGAACATATGACTAATTAAATGTAGGACTAATTAAATGTAACTAAATACATTTCTAGCATTTTAACGTCGTTTTTCTTACACTGAAATGATATATAACAAATATACTATAAATTGAATCTTTTTTTAAATGTCAAATCATTTTAATGCTTAAACTGATTTGAAACATTTGATTCTGTTGCTTATTGTTGTTTAACCTATAAACAATGTTTATTTGAATTATTTTAAACCACTAATAGAGTTCACATTATCCAACAAGTTGTGCTGTAGACAAAGATGCTAACCTCAAACCATATAAAACAGAAAAGTGATTGAGATATTCAAAACATGTTATTAGTGGGAGTCTTTAAGTTAAGATTTTTAAAACAAAATACACATACAAGCATAATTTTTAGGGATAACCTAACTTAACGTACGGCATTATTTAAAACTATTTTAAACTTTTTGCTGTATTCACAATTCTAGTATCACCCATATGAAAATGAAACCTATTGTCAATCAAAACAGTGCAATCCATTAAAGAGTTCTGTCCCATAAAACCTTGTTTTTAAGCCTGATCATTTTTCATTCATTCATTCATTTTCCTTTGGCTTAGTGCCTTTATTTATCAGGGGTCGCCACAGCGGAATAAACTGCCAACTTATCCAGCATATGTTTTATACAGCGGATACCCTTCCAGCTGCAACCCAGTACTGGAAAACATGGTGAGGCGACAGTGCTAACCACTGATCCACTGTGTCGCCCCTCTGATCATGAATAAATGACTTTCTGAATAATAAACAGTGAAATAACATTTTGCCATCTTTTCAGACAGTGGTCTCAAGCATTTCCGCTAAACGTTCGAATACGTCAAGCTGATAAGTCTGATCTGTAGGTTTTAGATCTAGGTTGATTTGTTCTTGATGATAGCGAGAATGTTGCACTGACGTATACACAAAAAGGGTCATTTAGCAGTTCCAGCAAGTCTGATTGATGGGAAACTCCAAACTCTTTGGCTAATACAACGAACATAATGCATTTAAAATCTACACATACCCACACACAGAACACATAATGCTTTGCCCGTAATTAGTGGATAAACTACCCTGAAATTGTTTGATAATGAAGATAATCTGCTGATGTCCAACATCAAGATGTACACCGCGTCATAACAGTCACACATGTTTGTATATGTAGCTTTCTGCTTTGTGCATGAGATGCTTACGATTAAACTGCTGCTGGTAAACCACATCCTTTTTGTTCTACAAACATGCTCACAAACCCATCAACAATGTTTAAACTGTGCAACAACCTCTCTTTAAAATGATCCGCCACCATGTCAGAATTAAAACTGTAATTACAGTATACTTTAATTATTATAATTATTCTGCAAAATACTGTAATTAACAAGCTAATTTCTTTTTTATTATTCAGAACTAATGCTTTGTTAAATGCAAAAACAAAATGTCAATAATAAACATTAGACACAAAGTAATGTTTGCCATTACTGATATTTTGCATCTGTTTTCTCAGAGTTTACCTTAAGCACGATCTCACCGGTGCTTCCTCCAGACATCCTGAAATACCCTGCTGACTGTGATGTGGAGAAATGTGCAGAACTTCACAATTGTCTCACACATATAGGTATTATTATTTTTATCCCTCAGGTTTTCCTTTGTTCATCTTAAAACGTGTTCTCCTGTTTCCTAAACTCAGCATTTTCTGTGGCTATAACACAAAAAAAGACGTTTTGGAGTGGTAAAATCTAATCTAATCTAATTTACTCTCATGATTTTTAAATTGCAATATTACATGTCAAGGATAACTAGAATTTTTTCTAAGTAAATATTTAATATTTGGAAATGTGTGTTTATATTAAACAAATTATGCCAGATGCACTAATTTGTAACTAAAAAGATTTATTTAACATTTTAAAAAAAAATTAATCTGTGTACCTTTTGCTAAAACATGAACTTGACATTAATTGATTAATTTGAATAAATATAGATACAACATTAAGGATAATCAATTAACATTTACTTTGTTAATTTAGGAGTGTTAATTGTATCTGATATAAGAATGTAACATTTACTTGAAATTTGTTATAGTGCAAATTGTTACAAGGATTATTTTAAGTAAATCTTAAGAGGTAATATAATAACCTTGGATAAAATTATCACAGTATCACTGTATTTTGATTACTATTCTAAACTAAGTTATTTTAAAATGTCTAAGTAAAAAAAAACTTGAATATATTTTATTTTAGGAAAGATTTAAAATATTTTGAAACAGTAAACAAGTCAGTCTACCCATTAAAATAAATCAGTGACTTCTGCTCTCTTCATTAGTTTTTAAAACACAGATTTCTTTACAACGCATAAAAAACATTAAATAAAAACGTACATTTACCATAGGAACAGTACAGCAGATAATTTTAGCGGTTTTAGCACCTTGAAATCGGTTATTGTTCATGCCTAGGGGCTATATTGACCTAATACTTGTAAGGAGTCTACAGACAATAATCATCACTGTTGATCTCAAAAAATGTATCTCGAACACTTGTTTTTACTGTATGAATGTTATTGTAGGCCAGATTTAAAAGGATAATTTACCCGAAAATGAAAAAAAGTCATAATTTATTCTCCCACATTTGGTTTCAAACTGGAGTTTTTTTTTTCTTTTGTTGAACACAGAAGAATAAATTTTTAAGAATGATGATTAAAAACGTTGAAAACGATTTAAAACAAATGAATGATGAGTAAATGATGGCAGAATTTTCTTTTATAGGTACATCTGAATTTCTTTTGCTATGTAAAACACAAACCAGCTAAACACCAAAAGTCTCCAATGAAAAGTTGGCGCCAAATGTTATAGCCTTTATATAACATATCCCTAATGTGTTAATACAGTTAAAGGTATAGTTCACACACCCATACAAACATAAAAAAATAATAAAATGTTCTTGTAAAATGTTTTTAATGAACTATGCCTTTAATAAATGTCCTGTTCTTATTTACATATTTTTATATTACAGTTGACAGACAATTTAGTCTATTAATAAGCAGTCACTTTCAATCTTCTGCTCTTATTAAAAACTGCTAAAATCCTAAAAATGCCAAAACCACAATAAATATAAGCTATTAAAAATCCTTCAAAGAAATATGCAAAGTGTAAACAGCGCTCTAAAAACCCTCTTCTAAACACCCTCTGGCTCAGTCATGCCCCATTAACAAAATTAAAAATGAAAATTAATTAATTAATTAATTAATTACACTTACTCGCCCTTCATGTGTTTCATTTATTGAGTTTCTTTCTTCTGTTGAACAAAAAATAACATAGTTTGAAGAATTGGAAACTGGTAGCCATTGACTTTCCTAGTTTTTTTGTGTTCAACAGAAGAATGAAAATCATTAAGGTCTGGTTCCATCACCATTTTTAGAACTCTGATTTTATTGTGAACTACCCCTTTATTTAGCAACAGTAAACATTACCATTAACCCCGCATTTAATATTATCAGCAGCACTGCATCTCTAATTAGTGACCTGGAAATCTGTCACACTGACAGATTCTTCTTACCAAACATTCCCACAACACACGTTTAATGCAGTCAGAAGAGTTTCGAAATAAGCAATAGCAAATTTTATGATGACTTTGACTATGGCTCTGCGTCACTTTTTAATTTATTATGAAGTTTCCTTTGACTTCTGATCTAATCAAGCAAGGGTACAAACCACACACATGTCGTCTGTCACTGCTTTTCAAAGTACCAAGCAGGGTTGAGCAGTTCTAGCCTCCCACACTTCCTCCTGCGCTTAATTTGGTGTCTTTGATGTCTCTGCTAAACATGGGTCTGAATCACGTACCGTCATAATATGAAAACACTAGTTTCCGGTTTTTGTACAGTAAGCAGCTATTCTGGTCTAATCTAATAAGTCAAATTTACAAGAAGTCAGATTATGACTGGCATGGGCATATTCAAATCACAATTATTAATTATTTATATTTAACAAATTTGTATTTTCATAAACAGTTAGTTTGGGCTTGTTTTATTTGACAGAATAAAAACAACGATTTTCTAGTTGAATATATTTTATTTTGATGATGAGATTCTAAAGCAGTATTTTATGAGGCCAACAAAGCAACCATTGTTTTGTGTTTAACATACATCTATAGGACATCTTGGTTAAAACGAGACTAATTTGGTCTAAATTTAGGCTCTCAGTGAAAATCGAATAGATGCCTAACAATAATTCAAAAACAGGATCCCAATTATATGGATGAACCTTAATAAAATGGGAATGGTGGGTGATATTAACGTCCTGTTTGTGGCACATTAGTATATGTGAGGAGGCAAACTTTTCAAGATGGGTGGTGACCATGGTGGCGATTTTGAAGTCGGCCATCTTGGATCCAACTTTAGTTTTTTCAATAGGAAGTGGAGGTGTGATTTTAGTGACTTTATTCTTTCACGAGTTATTTACAAGTTTATGACCACTTATAAATGTGTTCAATGTGCTGCCCATTGTGTTGGATTGTCAATGCAACCCTCTTCTCCCACTCTTCACACACTGATAGCAACATCGCAGGAGAAATGCCAGTACAGGGTTCCAGTATCGGTAGCTTCAGGTGCTGCACATCTTGTATCTTCACACCATATTCAACATAGATAGTGGGGCCATTCTACATCAATGGAAACCTCAAGGCCACTTGATATTTGAAATTGCAACATGATGATAGGTTTCCCTTTTTTTGCACTGAAGCTGGCACTTTTCCTGAGTTTTCCAGCAAGATAGTGCACCACCACATTATGGCTGTCATGTCAGAGCATTCCCAGATGAACAGTTTCCCGAAACGTGGATTGGTCATCATGGGCCAGTTGAATGGCCCCCAAGGTCTCCTGATCTGACCCCCTAAGACTTTTATCTTTGAGGTCATCTGAAGGCAATTGTCTGATGGGCAGTACATTGAACACATTTTATAAGTGGTCAGAAACTTGTAAATAACTCATGAAAGAATAAAGTTTCGTTAAAACCAAGCACATCATTGTTTTTCTTGTGAAATTCCCAATAAGTTTGATGTGTCAAATGACACTCTTCCTATTGAAAAAACAAATGTTGGATCCAAGATGGCCAACTTCAAAATGGCCACCATGGACACCACCCATCTTGAAAAGTTTGCCCCCTCACATATACTAGTGTGCCACAAACAGGACGTTAATATCACCAACCATTCCCAATTTATTAAAGTGTATCCATATAAATGGCCCACCCAGTAGACTATAGTCATCAGATTGACAGAAATAAATGAATACACACGTGAAGTCTATCTAATCTGTTTATTTGATGACTAATCTATTTTAGACGTCTAATAAACATCTATTATTGCTTATTAGGAATCCTCCAGACTTCTGTTGGCACAACATCCTTCAGAAATGTTTACAAAAGTAACAACACAAAGAAGAGTTAATTAAAAACATAATGAAACAAAATATTGGAGTACACTTCAGAAGAAAATTCCAATGTGTGAAATGTACAAGCAATCTCTAAGTGTTGTTTCTCTTTATGAGTCTTTATGAATTATAATATTTAAACATAATCCATATTATCGGTTCAAAAAGCACACAGGTCATTACATACTAAGATGTTGAATCAGCTAATGAATTATTTTCTGCTTCTTTTTTGACTCAGAAAATTACCCAGACATGGATGGTAGCCTACAGTGTGATGGAGCAAAGCCATTGATGACAATGACACCGAAATACAGTCAATCTACTGCTGCAAGTGGATATACAGACAGCATTATGCAGTACTCCATCTGTCAGTCAGAGCCGCAGGAATCTGAATGGACTGATTAACTTTGGCACTGTAGCTCACTATTAACCTGTCAACTATACTATCTACTGTTTTTGTATTTTGTTTTTTCTTTCATTTTATCAGTGTTCTGGTTTAATTGCATTCTGGTTGAATATGTGTGTAAATAACTAGATTTCTATTTTTATATATTTTTTATGTATAAACATGTCTTAAATTAGCATTCAACAAAGGCCAAAGTGAACAAAACCCATCACAGTTAAACTAGTTTTATAGTACTTGAATTAATCCGTTGAGGTAATTCTAGTTGCTCTTTACTGAAATAAAAACTAAAGTACTTCAGTATTTATTGCAGTTCACTGTTACAGTAGCAATTCATTCACATTGAGTAGTAAATACACAACACGTATATACAATATACAATACAATAGAATACTTAACTATAGTATTTTTCAAAGTGGGTAGACTAATGTTGTATATAGCCAAGATGCTTGTTGTTTTCATGTATCAAACTATCATTTCAATAAACTTTGTATTTTTCAATAACCTCGTGATGATTGTGTACTAACAAATCTTACCGGAAGTTGACTGCAGACGCAAGCTTTTCTTTGCTCAACGTAATATTCGCGGCCAGTCAAACTCGACAAGGAAGTAAAACGTGGAAGATGCAGTCAGCTTGTCCTCTACCGTTGATACAGCGCTTTACTTATTATTACGCCCCAGTAGTTTACTGTTAGTAGTCCATTGCCGCCCCTCGGTGGTAAGTGAGGAAAATGCATTGCTATTGCACGTTTACAGCTTTATTCAGTTTATGTTCAATAAACCTCGAGTACTTTTTTGAGATTTTAACAGATTTATGTGTGTTTGTGTATCAATTAAGACAACGTTACAGCACCTGTTAGCCTTTGGGAAAACGATAATTTTCCGATAATTTCATCTTGTGTTCAATAGAAAACAATAAAAAGTACTCAAAAGTAAACTGGAACATGTCATGGGAGTAAATGATGACAGAATTTAACATTTTGAGTGAATTTTCCCTTTGAATATTCAAGAGTTTTTCATATACTGTATATAGATATGATTTTCTAATAATAAAAAAGCCTTAGTTTAGATTCAAGTCAAGCTTAGTCCCTTTGTTCATCAGCGGAATGAACCGCCAACTTATCCAGCATATGTTTTACACAGCGGATGCCCTTCCATGCTGCAACCCAGTGCTGGGAAAGTTGACATGTGCAAGGATCTTATTGGAATACCTGTTTCATAGGGCCCGAGCCAAATGCACAATGGGCCCTATTGTTCTTCTGAGATTTTTTTCATGACAATCTTAGGTGCTTTAGAGGTCTTAACATCAAAAATTAGCAGACACTTTGAATCTGAGGTCATTCATTCCTTGCAGAAGTTCACATGCAGGGTCATGTTAAGCATGGTCAAAGGACCTCATTGGGTAAATAAGAACCATTGACTGAGAACCAGTACAAATAGTTGACAATAGAGAAGGAATGATTAGACGATTTCTGAAAGACCACTGAAGCCTGGAGTAATGATACTTGAGAATAGACATTTTTAAATTCGTTCTTAAAGTTATTTTAAATTTAAACATTTCACAATACTACTGTAACATAAGGGTGCTAGACAACAGATACATGTGCAGTTTAAGAACAAAAGGCAGGCAAGCAACGGTCAGAACAAGGACAAACAGATGCATGTAGAGAATTATTAAAGCGTTGTCAGGTAACAGGCAAATGATCAAAAACAGCCAGCAGGCAGAATAAACAATAAAACAAGGCAAGGGTCAAACATGGATAGACTAGACACAGGAAAATAGTTACAGGGTGTAAACCAAACAAGACTCAGCAATGTGAGTGTCAAACTAAGCAGTTTATATAGTCTGATTGATCACGTCTTGAGCAGCTCCCAGCTGTGTGTATGTGTGTAATCAAAGGTGAAGAATTGTAATCCGGGTGGTAATGCATGTTTTTTCAGCAATCTGCAAAGCCTAAATCCCTGGTGATCATTACTACTACCAAGTTGTTTTCTAGCTCCTTTTGATCAAATAAATGCAGCCTTGAGCTGAAACAACTTAACCTAACAAATCTTATTGTTGCACAGATATTTTCTAAAACAACTGTTTGTCAATCTAATGTTTTTTATTATTTAAAATTGCCAGAACCTAGGAGGAAGTCCTATTACATTCTTCCTGTCATTTAAGAATAGTAGAGATATATAATAGTAGAGATTATAATTATAACTTAACTATATTATAAGAGACTTTCCGAAAGTGCAACAAAAGATGATTTAGTGGCATTCAGCAAAACATCAGATATCGACAAAAAAAACAAAAACAAAAAAACAAGATAAATAAATAAAAATAATAATCATTATTGTGTTTGGTGACTAACAAATAGGCAACTAGAAGGAATAAATGCTTGGTTCCATCATTGCTGCTTGCAGCTACATTATAAAATGTCATTTATTCATGTGATAGCAAATCAATGTGATGGTCGTTTTCAGTGTCACATGATACTTCAGAAATCCTTCCAATATATTTATTTGTTGCTAAAGAAACATTTCTTTTTACTATTAATGTTGAAATATGTTATAGCAGATACAATTATTATTCATGATTGTTTAATAAATAAAAAAATCAGCATTTATTTGAAGCAAAAATGTAACAATGTCTGCACACTCGCTTGCAGAGAAGTGTTATCCTCCTCACATAATTTTGATGTATTCTTACCTGCACCTCAAATGGTGTGGATGTGTGGTTGTTTAAATTTTATTAACAAATGTCTTAACATGTCTTTAAGGTCACTTTTGATCAATGTAATGCATCCTTACAACATACAAATAATATTTAAAAAAAAGAGTCAAACAAGCTGTAAAAACATGGCGTTCCACACAATCGATTTTTACAAATTTAGGTGGACTGGACATAAAATTTTTCATAAAAAAGTTGTCCATCAAAAAACACAACCCTTGAGTTGTTTCAGCTCATTTTAAATAAGTAGTTTTTGAATGCAGTTGTATGCGTGTTATTTTGTTGCTATTGGTATTCCTTAAGTCAGAAATAAAAAAAAGAATAAGTAAGAAAAGCATTCAGACAACAGGATGAATATAAACGTTTGTATTTTAGAGTTGACAAATAAAATGACATGTCATTCTTTTCAGAGCTTACAAATTTTGACACTTTCAGACAATGTTTGACAACTGCAAATTAATCACGACTTGATTATTTCATAACATTTGCACAAATCCAGTAGCAGATTACTAGACATTAAATACAACTTTGGATTGAACAACCACTGTCTGTTTCAATGACTTCAACTTATGTAAACATATCTGCAGAAAACAATTTTCAGGTGCCATTTTTCAGATACACATTTTACAATAGTACCATTGATGGATGTTCACACAGGGTGCTGCTGTCGTGCTATTGTTTTAGTTCAATCACAACTCCGGGGGTAAAAAACTGAAACATTTCATTTAAATACGATTTGTTTTGAATCAGGGACAAAAAAAACTGTGGCAATCCAGCCTTTTTCTGAGCCATGGGCTCAAAGAAATAAACTCAGCTCAAACCCCCCCAGCAATGGCCCCTCTGATTCTCTCTCTCTCTCTTCATCCTCACTCAACCTTCTTAAAGACTTGTTTGGCAGTGACACCCTGAGCCCTCAGCTCCTGCAGAGAGACAGAGAGTATAATGAAATGAAGATTGTGAGAGATTCAGAGAAGCGGCCTAGTGGTTACAGCTTCAGTCTGGATTAATGCAATAAATAAAGACATTCAGAGAAGATTTTCTCACCATTGTGCTTGTGAATACAGCTTTGAATACCATGTTAGACCATGAGAACTATACTATTCCTAAAATGAATGTACTGTTTGTTTAAAAGAAAAAAACTGCTAAAAGAATCAATGAAAAAGAAGTGCATTTTGAAATGATTAAAACGCCTGGTTTTGCATTTTACGCTCATCAAGACTGCATTTATTCAACAGAGATGCAGTACAAACACTCATATTGTGAAACACCACATGATCCCTCAGTAATCATTCTACTTCTGCTGATTTGAAGGTTAATAAGCATCTCTGGTTATAAACGTTGAAAAAAAGATGATAAATGTTACTTTAAATAAACAAAAAATTGGTAACACTTTATAATAACTACACACTAAGAATCATTTACTAAGCATTAGTATCTAGTGAATTCAATATCTGTTAAGCATTAACTCTACATTAATAAGTGTTAGTAAGCAGTTTATACCTGCAGCTACAAATGCTGTATTCTTGACTTATGAGCACCTATATAATGTGTTTAATGAGTGTATTTTCATAATTAATTAATGATTTATATTTTATTACTAAATTAGGTATTGCATTATTTACAAACCAGTTATATTTAAGAGTAGTTGAGGGTTTTTAGAATCATTCAAAATGAGTTAGTAAATGATTAATAAACTATTGAAATCAACGTTTATATATCTTATTATTCCGGCATATACCAATAGTTAACTAAAATGTTAATAAATGGTTTATTAACTCAACTTCATGCAGTTTTGTGACCTAATCTAAAGTGAGGACTATTTATGCTTTATAAATCCCTTATAAATGACTATTAAAGGCTCAGAATCAAATTAACAATAATCTTTGCAATCTTTTCTAAAAAGTAAAATTACTGTAAAGTTTAAACAATGCTGAATAACAGGAGTGTCAAAATATGACATAAAACTGGATAAAACAACAACAATATGATAATTTAACATTATAATAAGATGCAATGTTTAAACTCTACAGTGATTTTATTTTAGATAAGGTTGTAATGAATTATTTTTCATTTGAAGTACAGTTTCATTTGTATATCTTTAAATGAATAGGAATGAATAATGTCTTTTTTCCTGTTTAGAATTTACCTGAGCTTTTAATAGTCATTTATAAAGGATTTATAAAACATGAATAGTCCTCACTTTAGATTAGGTCACAAAACTAGATGAAGTTGAGTTAATAAAGCATTTATTAATATACATAGTAACCATTAATATATGCCTACATAATAAGACATATACACATTGATTTCAATAGTTTATTAATTATTAACTAACTCATTTTGAATTATCCTAAAAACCCTCAACTATTCTTAAATACAAATGGTTTGTAAATAATGCGATACTTAATTTAGTAATGAAAAACAAATCATTAACTAAGTATGAAAGTACACTCATTAAACACATTATATAGCTGCTTATAAGTCAAGAATAGAGCATTTGTAGCTGCAGTTATAAACTGCTTACTAACATTTATTAATGTAGAGTTAATGCTTAACAGATAATGAATTCACTATTTGCTAATGCTTATTAAATTATTTATAGTGTGCAGTTATTATAAAGTGTTAACAAAAAATTCTATATTCTTTAAAAGAACAATATTTCTTTGAAATGTTTTAAACAGATGTTGTATATTCTGATCAATTCAAAGTGTCCTTGTTAAATAAAAGTATTAATGTCTTTAAAAACAAAATACTAACCACGAATTGGTGTAGTACTGTAGTTATAGTCAAAAGCTTTGTTTAAAAGTGTCACTTTTCTAATGACCACAGGGAAAAACAATATGAAAAGACAAAAGTAAAAGACAATAACATGGAATAAATATTTACATTAGGTAAACCTAATTAAGGCACAACATGTACAATTTTTCACTGAAGTACCCAAAAATGCCTTCTATATTTAGCTGATTTATGTAGTTATGTTTTGAAGAATGATAACGATAATGATAATGATAACATACACCATAGATTTCCTGTTTGGTTTTATAGGAAACAAAGAAACACCGAGTGAAGTTTATTTATAACCTAATTTCAAGAGGATCAAGTGCTTCTGATTGGCCACAGCCGGTCCTGCATTAGCTAATCAAGATCCTCCAATCATATGATTTATATACACATAACCACAATTTATTTCATTATAAAGATAATCCTGCTTATATAAACACTATAAATAAGGATTTCTCCCTTAATCCCCGGGTCTGAATCATAGGTCTGAATGCAGACTCAGTGCAGCAGGTCTCTTGCCCTGTCTATTTTAACCATTAGCCCTGTTGGTAATTTAGAGGATTTAGGCAAACACAGCAGCATGACCATGTGTCTAAATGTAAACGAACTTCTGATAAAAGACAAAGTCCGCCATTCTCCAATTCTCGTACTGCTCTCCGACAAAAATGCTTGCTGGACACAAACAGCTTCTACACCCTGTAGATCAGGGGTGTCAAACTCAAGGGCCGAAGCCCTGCACAGTTTAGTTCCAAACCTGCTCCAACACACTTACCTGTAGGTTTCAAACAAGCCTGAAGGACTCATTTAGTTTGATCAGATGTGTTTAATTAGGGTTGAAACTAAACTGTGCAGAGCTGCAGCCCTTTTGGAACTGAGTTTGAAACCTGTGCTGTAGATCATGGAAACAAACACATACAACCCTTCATAAACTACTAAATACTGTTTGCCGTGGGTCCGTGTCTCACAGCTTGGCACTGGCAGGTCTGTCTTGCCTACGGAAAGCATGTGCAGCCATGAATAATCAAGAAGCAGGCTCTTCTCATAGGATAAGAAAACTCCGCTATGAATAATAATGAGAACTCGATGCGTCATCTTTGCACTTGCAGTTTTGCGCTACATCGCCAATTTTGATCCCGCCCCAAAAATCATTTTAACCCCAGAAGCTAAAATTGGCTGACAAAAGCTCAAAATTATCAATTTTTTTCCCACAGTTAAAGCTAACAGGTGCTAACATTGTCTTAAATAATGCTCAACACACACAAATCTGTTAAAATCTCAAAAAAAGTACTTGAGGGTTTCGTGAACCTTTAAACTCAGGGCTATCTCTCAAGACAGCATGCCAGACAAGCTTATTGTAAATCATCAGCTAAGTGTGAACTCTTGAAATATACTTTAACCCTCTCCAGTCTACTCTATAGCCAGCGATATGAGCCATTTTAAGTGCAAAAGAAATATTTTTGTCATACATATAAGTGGCATACATATTTAAAAATCTAAAGTGTTTTCAACACTTGTGTACATTCAAAATAAAATCAAAGTGTGTTTTTTGTATAATAATATATTTTTAAAGATGCTCGTCTGCTGTCACTTTCTCTCATTGAAGTCTGATTTGAAATTGAATATGTACTGTAACTTCAACAAACTTGAATAATGAGTCTGCTAAAAGCTAAGAATGTCAGCTTTTAAATGATGTATCTCAACTCTAAAACAAATATTCTCAGTTATTTAATCTGTATTAAAGCAAGGAGAGTCACATTTTTTCTTTCAACTATAACTACATGTGAATGGATGCATTTTGAAAACCAAATTGATCTGGTAGAAGACATAAATCAAGCTAATCAAATTTTCTACATATTATATAATCCTTTATTGATAATAGAAAACTTTCAAATTAATTATGCAAACTGTATTTTCTCTACTTTTAACCAGCTTTTTACAAGTATAAATCATGTAAATACTAAGAGAGACATGTAGTGCTTTTTATTAGCATCTTAAAATTACAGAACAGGACCTTAAAATGCATTTATTATGATGAAAAAAGTGCTGCATGATCACGTTCGGAGGCGGTTGACTCGCATATTAAAGCTCTGCTTCTTTCATGCCACATCACACTCGTCTCTCATCAGCAATTGCTTGATGAATGGTCTCATTTCACTTAAATGGCTTTCATCCTTATTCTAATTCAAACCATGATAATAATACGTTTAGAATACTTTAACTCACCCATGAACATGAGTTCTGTCCCATAGGATGTAATGAAGACAACAACTCATACAATTCCACACTCAGTCACCAAACTACTCTGTTTAAATGTTTTGTTGTGAATAGGCGCCCTCTAGTGACGAAACCTACATACTGTGCCTTTAAGTTGAAAAGCTATCATTAAAACATTAAAGGAAGTATATTTGTTTGAATGTAGCTCAGTTTTGGACTCCACTCCCATATTTTCTTTAACTGAAAAAAACCCTTATAGATTTTTTAGTATAGTTTTACATTCAACTTTACAAAGTTCTCCAGAAACATACTGTGTAAAAGCAGTTTTCCTGAACTCTGCTTACCAAATGGAGGATGTTTCCTTCTAACCAGTGTGTCCAGCCTCTGCCCTCTTTCTCTCCTCGCTGCACGCAGATCAATTTATCACCGTCCCAGTCCACCGTAGTCTGAAACATATGGAGATCATTATCCATTATTAGCACCACACATACCACACTTTCCCACAGAGCTTTTCTTTGCCTTCTTTTGTTACTTTTTAAAGGGGCCTAGGTTGCTTACCAATACATTACAATACAAAATAGATATAGTGTATAAAAAAAGAGCCCAACACACTTGGCACTTTCGCCCATCGACTGGCCCCAGGTCCTCAGTGAACTCCTGTCCTAAAGTGAAGTCCATGTCGAAGTTCTTAAAAGTGGTGACGGTCTTTATCTTCATCCTGTCAGTGTTCACATCGTGTTCAATGTGTTTGCTGGGTTTCAGAATACAGACTACCTTCCTCAGTGCATAATTAACATCTGAAGAGGAGACAAAGAGAGATTAAGAAAGAAAGAAAGAAAGAAAGAAAGAAAGAAAGAAAGAAAGAAAGAAATTAAATCATTTAAATAACCTCCAACCATATTTACTACAGTAATTAAACTAAAAGGTTTTGCTTTTATTTGGATTCAAATTTTGTTTCAACTGTATTTTAATAATACTTAGATAAGGCTCAGTCGATTGATCTAAAGTCAGAACCTATAATCAATCAAATTTTTCAAGGTACATTTTTTCAACTACTTTCCCTACCACATGTAGAGTCACATAACCCCGCTCTGTTAAGGCTGATTTACACTTCTGCATTGAACGTAGCCTTCACACGGTCACATACCTGCGGACCTCTTAAAAAAATAACTACACAACGCATGTTTGCACTACACTGACAATGATTGGATGCTGCGGCAGAGATGTCTTCAGGCAGCATATTTTTACAATAAAATTATTATAAACGTTCAAATATTTGTTTAGAGAAGTTTCAAGAAAAGCTCTGTTTACAAAAATTATATAGGCCTACAGGATATGCCAAAGTTATTTTTTAGAAGAGATACTGCTTATTTTCTACTTTTTTTTTTCAAAACATTAAAAATAATTAATTTTGTTTACAAAACAAAATGCAAGTTATTTACTTTTCACTTTTTTATAGGAAAAAGTGGCTATTCATTTTCACTTTTTTATAGGAAAAAGTGGCTGTTCATTTTTGGCAATTTGTGTTTTAATTTCAACATTGATGTTCGATAAATACTCATTAGTAGTAGATAGTGTGTGCTTTCTCAATTATTTTAACATTAAGTAATCCACCCTTCATTAAAAAAATCTCTTAATTTTAATATGTGAACATATTTACTGTACACACCCTGTCAGTAAACTATGAGGGCAAATTTTTTTTATAAATAAATAAAATAATCGTTTATTAATCGTAATCAAGTTAAATGTTCAATTAAACGAGATTTTGATTGTTGGCCAAATCGCCAGGCCCTGCTTTTAGATATTATATAAAGATGATTAAAGTTAACTTTAATAAATAATTACATAAAACACTTAAATTTAACTTATAGCAGCATTTTTTTGTGTACAGAGTCTCCAAAATAAATATTTAAAATAAATAGACCACTTTAAAACTCTTCAAAACTACATGTTTGAGAACGTTAACCCCATGTTTATGTAGAAATCAAAACAGTTACACACAGTTCACATTTGAAAAACGCCACCTGCAGAACCTGATAGTTACAATCTCAATATTTGTTTTATTCTGTAAAGCTTAAATTCAGTAAAGAAAAAGATACAGATTATATAAAAATAGTTTTTAGTTTTTTTCTAGGATTCTTACTGTATTCAGGTATTCAGTAATTGAATAATCCAATGTAAAACAATACTGCATAGTCTTTGTTTTACAAACAATTCAATAGAATGTATCGTTATTAATTTGTTAAAGTTAAAAACAGCACAATTTCTTTTCGCCTGAATGCTTTTAAACCCTTCACACAGTCATGGGCCTCAAAAAGCACTTGTGAAATGATATTTATAATCCGGACTCAACATTGCACATACTCCCAAATGTGATTGCGAATGTTTACATTGCGATATATCGATGCTGGAACAATATATTTTGTAGCCCTAATTATAATAAATTATTTTAATATAAAAATGCTATCTTTCTATACTATATCTCTTCCTTACAGTAGAGTCAGTCTTAATCATTTTCCTTTTTATAATGAATCATAATGACCTCAATTCCAACTAACTGATTCAGTGATAAGATTGCAATGGTTAACAATAAAGGAAAATATTATCAGTGAAAAATAACTTGCTATTCACTTAAAGGGATAGTTCACCCAAAAATGTTTATTTCATAAGCATTTATTCTAAAAAGAAAGACAAGTAAATCATTTACATAACCTTCAACTATATTTATTGCTGTAAATAATGGTAAATGAAAAGGTTTTAGTTTGGTTTGGATGCAAACTTTTATTTCAAAAATATTTTTCATAATACTTATAAATATTTATATAAAAATTATTAAAATCAACTTTAATAAATACTTATATAAAATGCGTATATACACTTTTAACACTTACATTAATTTATTCACACTCAAGTGGTTCTCAAGTTGAGGGGGGGGGGGGGGGGGGGGGGGCAGCCATTAACTTCCATTGACTAGTATTAATTTATTTGTTTTTTTGTTCCTACCCACTATGGCTGATTTTTCCCCAACTTTTTTTTCAGAGTATCTTCTTTTGTGCTCAACAGAGGAAAATGGAGGATGACAGATTTGTCATTTTTGGCTAAATTATCCTTTTTATTAAGTCAAACAAACCAATCCAGAAGATCTGATACAGAATGCATGATTTATGAGGCATTTTTATGTAACCTTTTGTCTTTTTAGAAACTTAGTTCCTTATGTGTGATTAGGCTACACTATTTTTCTTTTTCTGTTTAAAACTCAGTCAGACATGTTGAAAATAAAAAAGATGCTAGGATCTCGTTTAGTCTTTCTTCCCCAGGGCAAGATGATAGACTGAATTTCATTAAGCCCAGATTAAAGAAGACATCATTACCACCATCATCAGGTTCACAGTGAGGTGAGGACAGGAGGAAAAAGGCACACAGTCAACACAAGCATCAGGTTACAATCAGAGTCACTGGGAGAGAGAGAAAAATATATAAAAACATTTCTGCTTACCCAAAGCCGCCAGATATTCTTCAAAATTATCCTGGGAAATCATGTTGTAAACGCCAGTGTAATTAGGTTTGGACATTTTCTCTTTCTTTCTATTTTCCTTTTGTTTCGAATCGACACGAATGCAGCTAAACTTTGTGTGATATAGGGCTTAGTGTGCTCACTGTTCCTCTGGGTATCTGTCTGATCTCTATCCGTGTCTCCAGGCAGCTCTATCTCATTGTATGATGGTTAATTTGGTTAAATTATCGCGCGATTGAAGCCGTTTCCTACAAGCAGCACGCTAGGTGTGTAGAGCAGAATCCGCGGCTTGGTGTTTCCGAGAGTTTACTCCGTGATGTTCGGCTGCACAATGAGCTTCACGAATGGTCTCCGGTTTGCCCTCCGTAAGTAAAGCAAAAAGCAGCGGTGACTCCTCCCAGAGAAGATCACTTAATCTGGACCGAGCCAAATCCAGCCTCCCGAGCCCCCAGTTTGGGAATGCGCTCCTCAGGCTTTAGAGGAGGTGCTACAGGTGGACGGGGTAAAGTTTCTTTTTCCTAAGGTTTTGTTAAATTTTACAATAAACATATTAAATGCTCGCATGATAACAATAACAATAGTTAGTTATTGTTAATGTACCCCTTTAATAATATGCACATTAGGCGTGTAGTCTCTCAGAAAAGTTATATATTGTGATCAGTGACTGTTATGTCAAAAAAGTATAACACTGTTACATAAACCATATGCAATCTCTTTTTTTCTTCAAATGATCTGTCTTACAAATTTATAATTGAACAGTTGAAAGTTCTTAATTCACGAAATCTCACATCTGCGATATCACATCTAATGTATATTTAGACCAAGATTTATTTCATACATAAAATAACTCAAATTAAAATTGACATTTTACAAAAACTATAAAGGCATGTTTAAAATATTAATAATAATAATAATAATAATAGGCCATGCTACAGTATCCTAGAGCGTAACGTGGTGCAATTTAAGAAAATAGGTGCAATTACAAAAAACACCAGCAAATTAAGAAAAGATCTTCATCCATTTGACAGCAAATGTTCTGCAAATCCTCATAATGTGTACACATTTAAACAAACACGTTTGCATTGAAAAATTTTCACACAATGCAAACAAATTAATAAAATGCGCTGCATTTTCTCACAGCACAAACTCACACTTGCAAAAGCAACGGAACACAATAGCCTATAAATGTTTTAAGAGTACACAAAAACATGACGAACGCCGCTGTGCTGATCTTTGATAGGTGAGTTTTTGGTTCCTCTTAAAACATTTCTCTTGTGGTCCGTGCTATTTGAAAGTGTTGTGAGAAAATGCAGTGCGTTTTCGTAAAATTGTTTGCATCGTCAATGTCAATGTTAATTTTATTTATATAGTACTAATAAACACGACCAGAGGTTGACCAATGTACTGCACAATAAACCTCACAACAAAGAAAAATATAAAATTATAGCTAAAACGGACAATTTTCATAGACAAAATGGCAAATCAAAGAGGTAATTTTTTAACCTAGATTTAAAAACAGACAGAGATGACACCGACCTAATAAAGAGGGGCAGAGCATTCCGCAACCTAGGGCCAGCTACTGCGAAGGCACGGTCACCACTGTATTTTAGCCACGAATTAGGGATACATAACAATCTCTGGTTAGATGACCGAAGAGACTAACCAGGCTGATGCTCAATCAACATGTTTGACAGATAAGCAGGTGCCAGGCCATTTAGAGATTTAAAAACCAAGAGAAGAATTTTAAAGGCAGAAAATGCCTTTAAAGAAAACTGCAAGAAAATGCAGAGCTTGTTATTAATTTGTTTGTGTTGTGAGAAAATGCAGCGCGTTTTTTAAAAATGTGTTTGAGTTGTGAGGATTGGCAACATGCTGTCAAATTAATAAACCTGACATGTCAAAATGAATAACAAAAGTGCTAGATGATACTAAAGAATATTAAAATTAACAATGTAAACATGTAAATAAAATTTGAATCCCTACAATGGAGAAATAACTAAATGATTTAGTATTTGAAGGGCCCATGGCAAGGCAACACAAAATCGCATGAAAAAAGTGATGCAATCATTGTACGTCATCATTTTTGCTTGGGTTTTAGAATAAAGGGTTAAAAAACAGAAAATGAATTCACTTTTGGTATTTATGATCAAGACTGAAGGCAAATAATTAAATATAATATCTGCCAGTGAAAGCAGAAAAATCTAACAAGTCATTGAAAAGTCTAAATCTGCATTCATTGTTCTGTTGCTCATGTGGTGATCTGTAATGCTCTTTCATTTCTCCTAATGTTTTCCCCTGCTGTGCCTCGGTGTTAACTGGGGTCAGTGCTGTATGGGGTCCAGTGATCAAGGGCCATGTTTGACCCCGATGTGTATGTGAATGATGTTCCCTCTCTCTGGCTTCAGGCCAGAGTCTGTGCATATCATTTCTCCAGGACATCAGTCTTTCCATTCAGCCTTACAATAACATCCCGGAAAATTCAACGTTCTATGCAAACACACCTCTATTTTATTACAGCAAATAAAAAGAAAGGCCAGGAAAAACTCTGGAAAGGACTTTTATTAAAGCTGAGAACAAATCGATGATTTACTACGATTACAATCTTTTTGTTTTTTTTTTTACTTAACACTTTTTAAAAAAAAATTAACAAATAGACTAAAAAACAGCCAGATTTGTTTGATAATCTCTGTAAAAGCCTTGGCTCAGTTTTCTTTTTAAACAGTTTGACTGTAAAACACCTGAAAACGTACTTCAAAATAAGCTGTACAACAAAGAAGCGAAATTAAATCAAATTATTTTTCTGTTATTTTTATCGTTTCCTAACAGATCCACCACCCTTCTTCTCTTCAGATTTCTGCTTTTTGACGTCTTTCTTTCCCTTTGCGCCCAGATTCTCATAAACATCCTCATTTTTTCTGAAAAAAAAAAAAGAATATGACTGGTTAGTCGCCAATCTAGAGTAATTATTTTATATATATCAAACTAAATTTAAAATAAAAAATATAGACATCTATCTAAAAACAATTATATATATATTTAATTTATATTTTTATTTTGTATTTTTCATTTAAATATATTAATTTATATATTATTTAATAAAAAATCTAAAAGTAAAGCAAAAATAAAAATAAAATAAGAAATATACAGACAACTATAAAATGCAAGAATCAATAAAAATAACAAAACAAAAGGAAACAAGCAGAGATGAAAGAGACCTCGCACCCAGGCTCACTACCACCCAGTGGCCTTAGGATGACAGGGACAATATATATATAAATGACTGCCAAATTCACTGATTTATGCCAAACTTTCTTCTGTCAGCAGGTGGCGTATGACTAACTAAATATTTGCAGAGGAATCTCATTGAACATTAATTTTCAGGCAGATCGGACATTGTGTGGCTGAGTTATAGTACTTTCTCCTCCATGGCGATACGCTGAACTTTGTTAGTCTGCCACAAACCCTCCCTTTGACAAAAAAAGATCTTAAAGGCCTTTACATAATAATACAGAATTTTGGTGTTGATTTGATAAAATCGCTAAGAGGAGTTCCTTAAAATACAACGCATGGAAATGGCAAAAACTGCACTTTTTCAGCAGAGGATGTTAAAAATATCTGACTTTCTGTTGGGTTTGAGATTTCGCTCCAAGAGACCTTTTTGTAGGTATTGGCATGTTTGATGTGTGTGCCAATTTTTGTACACAAGCGTGAAACGTAGTTCGGGGGCCACTCAATTCAAGTCAAATGTGCATAGGTGGCACTGTCGACACTCATTTCCGAAACCTATAACAAATGTAAATTTTCACCGCTTTTGATGTGTGCGCAAATTTTTGTGAGTTTTCGGGCATGTTTAGACCCTCAAAAATGCAAAAATTCATTCTAGAGAAGAAGAATGATAATAAGAAACTGAGCCATTCCAATAGGGCCTACGCACCAATGGTGCTCGGTCCCAAATTAAAAGACAAAAGAACATGAGAAATGACTTAAAAAAAGAACAATAGTTATTAAATAATAATAAAAAAGATGAGGAGGAGTACAACGCTTGATTAGTAAACTTGACTTTATCATTTATAAATATATTATTTTCCATCTAAAACAGTTTTAATATTTCTGTCAGCAGCTTGAGCTACAATATGAACTGTCCTAAGCTAGTCATTAGTTGAACTGAAAGCGATTAGAGCAACGTGGAGCTGAAACAATGTGGGATCTGAGGTAAAACTCAATCCTTCTCTTTTTCTCTCAATGGGATATTGCACAACGGGCTTTAAAAACGCTTGTGTAAGCAGAACGAGCGTGTGACAGAGATCTTTGAACCGCCTGCTCAACTGGTCATCAGTTTGGTGGAGATAAGGAGACGTGAGAGGAATGTTTCTGGACGATTGTGAAGACACTACAAGCTCAAGTCTGTGATTTATACTCACTTCGAAGAAGCTTTGCGACTGGCCTTTGGGTGTTTGGACTGAATCGAGAGGTTTCCATATTCGGTTTCAGTTTCCTGTAACAGAAAGCATAAAAAAATCAATAGCAATACTAAACAAAACAGAAGGCACAGAGACACAGAACTGGAAATCAGTCTTATCTTCCTTTTTAACAATGTCGACTTAGCTAAGATATCATGGGAACTGTTTTGAGAGCAAATGTTTTGGTCATTTAAAGTTACAATGAATGACATCTTACAAGGGTGTCTTCTTTAAAGGGGTGGTCCACTACGATATCATATTTTATGCTTTATTGGATGTGTAATGTAGCTGTGTGAACATAAACAACATCTCTGAATGTAAGACACTCAAAGTTCAATGCAAAGGGAGACATTGGCTTTTCCAGGGTTAGCTTAGCATAGCCTACAGCGAATGAAGTTGGGAACTACACAAAAATACATCCGGGTTACGTGCATGCACACAGCGCAGTGAAGGGGCGTGGCCAGAGGCGCCGTAATGTTATAGCAGAGAAGCTAAAATGCCAATTAAATGCTGCACTTCAACAGAGCTTGTTTTGTTTCTGTATTTGGGCTTCCAAAGGACATGACACAAAGAGAGAAGGGCTTACAGTTTAATTTTAATTATGTCCAAGACAATTTATATTAAAAAAAATATATGCCTAGCATTTGACAAAGGAATCTCTCCCAGTTCAGTGCTGGATTCGGCTAAAAACTCCTCCAACCGACGAAGCTGTGGATTGTGAGCCACAACCTGTAAGTATTTTTATTCGTTAAAATTGATCAATAACATGCATAGTTTCTAGCCTTAACGATATGTTGTAGTTAGAAAGTAAACAAGGGGAAATGCTGTTTGGCACCACTAACATTTTAGTTACAAATTCATATTTATTCATCAAACTGCTGTAAACACCCACAATCTTCACCAGCGCTGCAGTGTCTATCTCAAATAACAAACTCACAAATGATTTGAACATTTTATATTACTTACACATACTTATAACCTGAATATATATGAAATACACTTGTCAGATTTTATATTAGAGAGCAGGCCTGAGGTTCAGCTGTGTCTTTTTCATTTTCTATCTGATTCAGGCTAAAACTGATACAGCTAACAGCTACTCTGACTGACAGTATTTACACAGCAGTGACAAAGCGCGTGCTTGTAGGGGCGTGACGGTTTTCCTGGTGACACTGGGCCGATCCATGACTCACAGCACATTATGTTAGCTGACCTCTTGAGTGAGGGTCGTTTTCATGTTAGCTGAGTAGCTGTATATAATCAAAGTAAGATTTTTTACAAATGAAGCACGAGCACACATTGCTTTGCATCTTATAAACACAACCAAGCCTTAAAAATACACTCTGGACCACCCCTTTAAAACATGCTAAAATTGTATAATAGTAATTAATTTTTGTTCAGAAAGAAATAAAATTATATATAAATCATTCTAATGTACAAAAATACACAGTACTATTTAAAAGGTTTGGAGTCAGTTGGACAACAGTAGTAGTAGCATAATCTAATATCATTGGAACATAAAATGACAATTTTCTATTTGAAAACATTTTAAAATGCAGTCACATGATCACCAAAGTCCTTGTAATATGTTGATTTGCTGCTCAGTAAACTTTTATTATTAAAATTCAATGTAGAAATGAGTCCTGCTGCTTAATATATTTATAGAAACCATAATACATCAAGATGTGTTTAAAGAATTTTGACTAGTTTAATGCTTAATTTCTGAACAAAAATATTTCTGAATGGCTGCCCGCTAATTGTCTGCTCAATAATCTTTTATTTTCTTTATCCCACATGTTTCTCTTACCATGATGGCCCTTCGTGTGACTTTAGTGGACTCTATGTACTGCAGCACAGCCAAGTAGATGAACTTGTATTGAGCTTCGGTTTGCACCATGCCGGATCGCTGATCTCGTACCATCATAATACACTTCTGGATGTCAATGTCGCAGTCCAAACCTGAAACAGATGACATTTTCAAAATGTGCTTGATCCAGGAATTAAAAGGACACCCCACCCTAAGGTGTTCATGTGGTAGCAACTACTAGAAGTAAGCTTATCAGAAGATTATAAGACTGACTGTTTTATGTCAAATAGAAACTCTAAACCATTTGGAAAGGAAACACATTAGCCAAATATATCACCTGAGGGCATGTACAGGGTTAATGCAGTGCAATCATATTGATTGAAGCATTTTAGCCCAAGTTGCAATAAAAATTATGCATTAGAATGAGTCTACAGCCAAGCTGAGCTGTGATCAGATTATCGTTCTTCATCTGCTGATCTGAAATGAGTTGGCAATATGCATTAATGGTTTAAATTAATGTGAGCATTGTAAACCCCTAACTAAGCTTGTATTCACACATGACAGATTGGGTTTGAATACTTTTTATGGATTAGTAGGCTTTGAGATTTTCATATTGTGGTTTGATTTGTCAAAACACTGTAACTGCTTCAGGACAATGGCTCAGTGTTTAGCACTGTTGCCTCAAAGCAAGAAGGTCACTGGTTTGATTCCCGGCTGGACCAGGTGTCCTTTCTGTGTGGGTGATCCGTTTTCCCCCACATTCCCAAGACATGCAGTATAGGTGAGAATTGAAGAAACCTAATTGACAATGGTGTATGTGTGTGTGTGCGTGCGTGCGTGCGTGAACTCGGGGTTCACGACTTAGTGTACTCTTAGTGATGGGTTGTGGCTGGAAGGGCTGCATAAAACCTACACTAGTAATTGTAATTGGGGGTTCATTCAACTGTGGTGACCTCTGATAAATCAGGGACTAATGCCTCATTCACACTGGCAGCAACTTTGTAGCTGCCTGTCACTCCGGGTGACGACCTGCTTCAAACACAGGTCTGTGTAAGTGTATAGCCTGTAGTACGAATACAACCGGCCACTGAGCGAGCTGAGAGAGGATCAGGTGAGCTCTACTAGTGCTCCTATTGGCTGTCGCTCAAGAAAGTCACTCTTCATTTGCATAATGTTGAAGGATTCTCAACCTTGTGGCGTCGTTCGACACTTCCACCTGGTCACCAACGGTTGCTGTCGCTCACGTAGACGGAGGTCACTGGAAGTTGCTTGCTCTCCATTCAAATGAAAGGTCGCTTGTTGCTTTGCCACTGCGAGTCGCTCGTAGTGTGAATGAGGCTTAAGCCAAACGACAGTGAGTCAGACTAAGTCTGTCACATATTGTTAGGTTTATCATGAAATATCAACTTACAATTCAGTTTCTTTTTCCTTGAACCATATAATTTTCTCACAGAATACTTGGAATATACAAAATGTGTCACATGAGACCATTCTGTGAAATTTGCGTGTTTTTGTTTTTTAAAGTTTGCTGCTGGTAGCTGTTTATTATACTCGTGTATGAGTGAGAGCAGGGGTTTAAAATGATCATTTTTAAGTCATCCGTTTGTGGTCCGAACAAGAAAGCACCACACAAGAGTGGATGAACAATGGGTAAACTAAGTCCACATATTGAATTAGCCCTGTTTGAATGCTCTGACCCTGTGTTAGCATGGTCACATAATCAGCAAATGTCTATTATGTTTGGGATGGTGGTGGCTAAAAGGGTAATCTTGATAGATTGGAAGTCCACTTTACCACCTACGTTTCATAAAAGGCTGACTGAAATGGTTGCTGCTCTTAAGCTTGAAAAAATTTGTTTTGCTAGGGCAGATGCTTCAAAAAAAGTTAGAAAAAAAAATCAGGGGCCTCTTCCTTGCATATCTTTTTAAAAGTTAAAAGTAGGGCAATTTTACTCTTACTTTTCCACTCCAATTTCAGTGTTTTTAGTTTGACCAAGTAAAATGTAATGGTGTATATTATTTATTCTATATGATGCATGTTTTTAAAATTATTATAATTTTTTATTAATTTATAAAATGTTTTTTATTTTATTATTTATTTTTGTATTTTCTTTCTTTTTTGTTACCATTTTTATAAAAAGTATTATAGATTGTATACATATTTTTGTTCTGTCTTATAAAAACTTTTATAAATAAAATACACACAAAAATAGAAATTGTTACTAAGGTTTTTTTTGCCCTTTTTTTATTTTTTAATTATTTATATACTTCGAATTTAATTATGTATATACTTCGATCATACACTTAATACACACATACACTTCGTTGAACATGTACACAAACACATCACCTATAATAATATAAAACTGCAGGGTAACTTTTGCTTATATACAATAACTGTTAAAAGCTATTAGTAGTATTAATAGTTTAATTAATTGGCCACTAATAAAGTTATGGCAACTAATAACTTTTGTGATTTTGATTGTAATACAACAATGTGCACCTTTTGTGAAGCTGCTTTAAAAAGAATAACTATTGTGAAAAGCGCTATACAAATACATTTGAAGTGAATTGAATACCGTAACTACTCTATAACGGCAGGTTCTTTATATACTGCCCACTCGATACACAACTCTTAATCTTTTCTGATTTTGACTGTAATGTAATGATGTGCACTTTTTGTGAAGCTGCTTTGGAATGATGGTCATTGTGAAAAGCGCTATACAAGTAATCTTGAATTGAATGGAATTAAGTGTTTCTCAGAATGGCTACTATTTAGCTTTAGCTGGGGATTGACCCTGTAACCTTCCAGATACCAGCCTGTTGACTTTCACAACCTCCCTCACACAAAACCACTTTTACACAGTAAAAAAAGGTTTAAAAAAAAAAAAAAAAACCTATAAACTCACCTTTAGCATCAATGGAGTCTATCAGCATGTCAATCACCACAATGGTTCCAGTTCGTCCAATACCAGCACTGCCAAAACAGAATCATTTCCTTAAATAACAATTATGATTTGGTTCTTTGTGTCTGCTGAAATACCCTCATTACGTTAATGCATGATTAAGATTATCCTACAAATCTAGATTTCTGCCTTATGAGCATTACTCTGACATAATCACGTTCAACTGTTTAGTAAAAACATGCATTTTCTGGAAAGCTGCTTTGAAACAACATGCATTATGAACAGAAAAAAAAAAAAACATGATCTTTTCAAGCTGCTAGAGTTCATAAGACCCTAAATGTTCCACAGCACATGTTCATACTAAACAATAAACAAGCAATTAATTGAAAAGTTGGAGTGGGAAGTGAGGGGTCATGAAAAGTTCAAGCATGTACTCTGATTACAACATGCCGAGTGGTGTAACTGCTGCTTAAACCTTCCTGCTCAAGATTTGCAGCATGTATTATTCGCTCACAGGATCTGCTTACAGTGTTAAGAAAATTGTTAAGATAAGGTGCTACAGGCAAAAATGAAGCGGTCCATTTTCAGATTTTGGGCCAATAGAAAGAAAACATCCAAAATAGTGCTTTATCAGTTCGTATCTATAGATTACAGATTACAATAAATATTTTAAAGGCACTTTTTCCTCCTATGCGCAGTCATAAATCTCCACTTACGCTACATAATACGGTACATTTGGTTTTATTCATATCTATATTGTGAAGTTTGTTTTTTTATTGGCCATGGACTTGCACATTGATCAAATCTAGGTTTAAATGAAACCAAAAAAGTTATAGCCAGACTCGTTCTTTCTTAAAATGTCATAATGTGGAACACAAAGAACAGAACTTTTCATTTATATATAAATATTACATAGATATAATACATTTGTAATCCTACAAGGGGGCTATGGTCATGCATAACTTGACTGTTTGTATACAAAATATTATTATACAATTTTTTTCCCGGCTGTTTGTGTTCACAATTATTTTTAAATTATAAACAGATAAAAAGACACTGAAAATCCCCTCTGTTTATATTATTTTTGAATGTAAAAGTTCACAAGATTTCTGTGGTCAAAAATGTAGGCAAATGAGTGCATATTTAATTAAAAAATGCATCCTTTGAGTACAAAAAAAAAACATTTTTTGGGAAATTATTTTCGAAAACAAAAAAGTCAATTGAATGGAAAAGTATGGCTGTAAACGTTAGTATATACAGTGCTAAACATTAGTATTTAGTATTCATCTGCAGTATCTTATATGAAAATAAAAAAATGAATTCAATTGAATAAATTTCATTTCATGTCTATGACTAAAAAGGTCAGTTGTGGATATATCAGATATATATTTCATGGACATTTCAATGGTTTCACTGTGTTGTGCTCATGAAGCCCCCCTGTGGAAGATGCAGTTATTAAAGTACCTGCAGTGAATGACTATGGGTGCAGATGAACGCAGTTCTTCCTGTTTCCTGTTGACCTGGTCCAGAAAGCTCAACACTCCACCAGGCTCCTGCGGAACTCCATGATCCGGCCAGCTCAGATATTGGAAGTGCCAAATTTTTCGGGGGGCCTCATTCTGCAATCAGAAAAATAAAGAGTCTACATGAAGAAATTGAATTATTATACAGTATATATATACATATACATACATATACAAATATATATATAATTGAAGTCAGAATTATTAACACCCCTTTGATTTTTTTTTCTTTTTTACATATTTCCCAAATTATGTTTACCAGAGCAAGGAAATTTTCACAATATGTCTGATAATATTTTTTCTTCTGGAGAAAGTCTTGTGTTATTTTGGCTAGAATAAAAGAAATTTTTCATTTTTTAAAAACCATTTTAAGGTCAAAATTATCAGCCACTTTAAGCTAACTTTTTTTTTGGAAGTCTATAGAACAAACCATCGTTATACAATAACTTGCCTAATTACCCTAACCAGCTTAGTTAACCTAATTAACCTAGTTAAACCTTTAAATGTCACTTTAAGCTGTATAGAAGTGTCTTGAAAAATATCTTGTCAAATAATATTTACTGTCATCATGGCAAAGATAAATCAATTATTAGAAATGAGTTATTAAAACTATTAGGTTGAGAAATGTATAAATCAATTATTAGAAATTAGTTATTAAAACTATTAGGTTGAGAAATGTATATAATGTATATACATATGTATATATATATATACACATACATACATACATACATACATACATACATACATACATACATGTGATTTTTCAACTTTTTTTATCTGTAACAAATTTGCAACACAGGGTTTAAAAAAACTATTTTTTTCACATTGTAATTTTGGGGTATTGTGTGTAGAATTTTGAGGAAATAAATTAATTCAATCCATTTTGGAATAAGACTGTAACAAAGAAATGTGGAAAAAGTGAAGCGCTATGAATAATTCCCAGATGCACTGTATATCATGACATTTTTGTTCTAGATATTTAAAGCATTAGACTTTAATTTGCTAAAAAACACAAAGGAATTAAGCTACAATTATAAGTAAATTGAACATAAAACAAGTTGTCCCCCAAAACAAACTCAAGAATTGTTGTTCCAGCTCATTTATGTAAGTAGCTTGAACAAGCAATGTTTTTTGAGTGCATATATTATTTATATACATTTTTGTTTTAGTTTTTGTTGGCAGCAAACTTAAAATAATGTTCTTTTTTTAATCTCAGTTAACAAATGTTTATTTTAATCAACATACAGTAGATGATTTTATTTCATGATTTTTGTTTTGTTAATAACAGAAAATTCACTTTTTCGCTGTTTTCTTGATGCTTTTTTTCCACTGGAATCAAGATGGCAGTATGAAATGCAGTGGAAAAGAATGACAAACAGACCGAATATCTGGGGCACAGGTGTGAGCAAAAAATGTGCTGTGTGCTCTTATGTGAATGTTTGCAAAGACGCATTGAAAAAAAAAAAACTCATTCCTTACCCGATGCGGAGCACTGAGCTCCACCACCCTCACTTTATAATCAGCAGCATCCATTTCAGACAATAACTTCACCACATATCTGCCTACTTCCTTCGACTCTCCCTCAGTAGTCGGCCAGTATGGCACACACTTATTCTGCAGAGGAAAAATACAACCGCATATTTGATGTCAGCAGCTTTTCTACTTATTTAACAGGGAAGTTTCTGAAAAGAAGGTGCTCGTCACATGTTCCATGTAGTAATTACATGCAACTAAATCTAAATCTAACCCTCATCCTAATTATATAGTAGGTGTATGTAATTATTTAATATTACTAGATAACTCAGTGAATAATTACACTGTGACAAGGACAACTTCAAATAAAGTGTAACACAAAAAATGTTACTGAATTAAAACGCATAATTGCATGTAATTTTTAATACACACACACCCAAACACACACACACAAACATAAAAAAAACATTTGTACTCAAACCCATACATAATGAATTGAGCAAATGCAGTAACTTTCACACATACACACATTTTGTCAGGATTATCCTTCCCATGTATTGTGTTCCATGTTATTTGGTTATGTCAGGTGATTCCTTTGTTCTGTTTTCTTGCCGTTTTTTAATGTTTATTAGGCCCCGTTTACACTAGTGCGTTTTAGTTTTAAAACGGCGTTTTAGAATGAAAACGATCCGCGTCCACACTCGCGTTTTACCCAGCGTTTCTGAACTGCTCTCCGTCCACACCAAAACGCTGAAAACGCACATCACGTGACCACACTCACACTCTCGGGCAAGCGCTGCAGCCCATATACCCAGATGAGAGCTCTGCTAGTCGGACTTCTCATCAAGCATCTCCCGCTGGATCTAATATCACTATATTTATTATACGGGATATTTCATTTATCTTGTTGTCTTTATCTAACGACATATTCCCTGACTTTGGGCATTGGAATCTATTACTTGTTCTCAGGTAACGTGTTTTGGCTGAGAGCAAAGATAAGTTAATGATTAATGTAAGCACGTACATTCTGTATATTGACTGATCGCTTGCCTTTATTTCCTATAATGTATAAACTTATTGTATGTTATACTTTTATAATGGCCATTATCGATTATTAAAACAGATATTCAGCAAAAGAGAGGGTGTGTTTCGTATTTTCACTGAAATTGAAAGGAGGCAGTTGTTATCGGCTCCGTTTTGTTATAAATATCCACACAGTGAAGATGACGCTCATATATGCAGCACGACACCTCAACATTTCTGCTGTCTAAGTTGCTAATATTAAAATGAAAATAGGCAGTTCCTTAAATCATGTTTACATTTTATTGTTGAGAAAGTGAAACAACGAAGCCAGTGTGATGTGAATGAAGCTATAAAGTGCACTGTTCCCTTTGAAGATTTACCCGTGACCTCAGTATAGTATGTTTACCATATCAAACTGAGAAGAAGAGACTGCAGCCTTGATCAAATTTGCGAAGTCTGAACTTACACGGAGAGAAAGCAGGACTGAACTGTGCGTGTTAGGCTACTTAATATTCAGGAAAAGCCCCAATCAGAGAGGCGAACGTCTGCAGCCCCGCCTCCGTTTTCAGATGTCTCCGTTTTCCATCATCCACACTGAGACGGAGCAGCAGCGTTTCAGAATGAAAACGGCCTCTCCAGCGTTTTCGAAACGCTCCGTTTTCGGCACTCGAGAACTCCGGCGTAGTGTGGACAGTTGGCGTAAACGTAGCAAAACTTATGCGTTTTCAAACTAAAACGCATTCGTGTAAACGGGGCCTTAGTTCCACTTGTGTCTCTCCCCTTGTTTGTAATCAGTTTAATCAGGTCATGTATTTATACCCCTGAGTTTTTTTAGTTGTTGCCTGTTATTGTATTGTCTACATCCCAGTCATTCCTATTGCTAGGTGTAATGCCGCAGTCACACTAGACTAGAGTTTGAGCTTGCGAAATTCTGACGTATGGTGCTGCGAAAAAGGGGGTGAGCGATTGGTCCATATTTAAAATTTCTGTCCAGAGAGGTCATGTTTTGATCCTCGATTAGTCTCACGCAGTCAAGTGATGTGATTTCGCAGGTCAGAGTTTACCAAGCTTGAACTTTGCAACGCAGCAAACTGTAAAACTTGTCACAGGAGTTTGCGTTTCCGGTTTGATGCATTCGTGTGCGTATGAAGTCTATAGGGAGAAAAGTGCAATGTGACCGCAGCTTAAGTGTTTGTTAATAAAACTTCTGATAGCAAATGATCAACTAGAAGTCAAATTATTATTTATTGTTCCTAAAACTTGGATAGGCTACAAGACTTTTGTCAGATAGTGTATTGCAGATCCGCACATTGCAATATTAATGCTGAAACAATATACTATGCAGCCCTAACATATAAACATGTCAAATATACATACTCTTTTCCATATAATTAATGTCTGAAAAAACATAGCATGTGGAGCTATTATCATTTTTCTGCAAATAAGAGCTCTAAGTGCCAACGTTCTTAGTCAAAGCACACTATCATTTAGAAAACACAAATATGAACTTTCTACTCACTCAATTGTACTCGAATCCAGAAATGCAACAGTAAGAGTGAAGTGTTTTCTGTATAGTACATTTGTCAAATCAATTCTGAAATTATGAACAACTACTAACCCGTCCTTTCTCAACTTCTCTAGTTGTCATGACGATTACTCGTGAATCTTCTTGCCACATCATTTGCCAGAAGTCATCTACAGTTGTTGCGAGGCAACCTTGACAAGCAATGTAAGTCTTCTGGGGGTTCGTAACCATTAGTTTGTTCTGTTGGCATGCAGAAACAGAGAGACGAAGGGAAAAAGAGAATGATTCAACGACACATTCAAGCTGAAAATTGGAGAAATGCGCAATGATTATGATTTATCTGATGGACATACTATAACATAGTTGGCATTGATGTAGTCAGAGCCCACAACATTGGGATCTGCGTTCTCTAGGATAACCCGAGTTTCATCAACTGAAAAAAAAAAAGAAGAAAATAGTTATATTTAAAAAATTAAAGCCTGTCTAATACTCATTTTTGCTTGCATTGCCCTTTATATATATATATATATTTTTTTTTTATATATATATATATATATAATTTTTATCCTCGGCATAACAATTTTTTCTGCTATCTTTGTATTTTTAAAAGTGTAAAGTTTCAAGTTTCAAAGGTGCTATATAAAAATAAAGTATTATGATTATTATTATCATTATATTTAGAAATGTATAATATCAATAATAATAATATATATACACAAACATTTTAAATGTAATTTAAATTTATGTGCATCATAACATATTTTTTAACATATCAAACTGCTAAATGATACATGCATATAATGATATTCTCACACTTGTAATTGCATTACATCATGGCCACAGGCCTTTTTAACCACATTGAAGCCGATTGATTCAATATATAAACAAGATATTAAAATTATGGACTTAAAGCCAATGCAATGGCATCATTGTGAGGTTTTATGTAAACATAACGTTCTTAGTTCTGATAGTTTTATTAAATTTAAATATCTTAAATTGTTCCAATGGTGTTTTTAGATCTAATCAGTAGGCATCAAACCTCTCACAGAGACACAAGCAACAGCTAATAGCGACTATCTTATTCAAAAATGTAAGACCTCTTTTGGTCAGCCTGTTTTCTCTGTTAAGGGAATCAAATTGTGGAATGTTTTAGCTGTAAGCCTAAAGTTAGAAAGTAACAAAAATGTTTCTAGTAATGCACTTAAAATGTGGTTAATCAAAACACCAGCGTTTACACAAATAGTTTATTATTAGTTTGTTGATCATGCCGCCTTTGCTTTTGACTTATAGCAATTTAATGTAAAGAATTATAATACTTATATGTTTATAATGTGTTTTAATGTTTACAATAGTGTATGTGCATCTATTTTACTTTTATTTAGGTCAAGCCTCCCGTGGACAGGTGTTGAGAATGCTAAAACACTTAAACAAATGCATTTGGTTGTCCAGTGTAATTGTGATGTCCATGTCAATATAAATAAATTAATGAATTAATAAAAATTATGTAAATATATCTTAAAAACAGTAATAAAAAAAATATATATACTTCATGGTATAGAGCATTTTACCCCAAAACATATTATTTATTGTCATTTCATTTAGAGAAAAAATACACTACTTCAGTGTCACACATGTCTATTACTATAAAAATAACAATAAATATGAATAATTCCATTCAACCATCCCTAAACGTAACCCTTATCCTAACCTTAACCAAAATATTGAGAAAACGTATTTATGAAGTGTAAAAACAAACTGCAAACAAAAAAATCTGAACAAAAAAAATACAACAATGTGATGATAATATTCAATGCTCACAGGGAAGGATGTTCTTGTATCTGTTTTTGCTTTTGTTTTCTGGTCTCATTCCTTCATCTCTGCTCTTCGTCACCTTCGTTTCCAGCTTCTGCAACGCCTGCAAGTAGAACAACAGATTTATAGCTCAAAAATAGCCAAGAGAGTGAGAGAAATAAAGACAGAAAGTACACGTGACCACATCCTGTCGAGAGCTTGTTTAGAGTGGCTCTGAACGACCGTTTGGCTCCTGTGGTCTAACCTTACTACGACCAGAGATCAACTGTTCAGTACAAACAAACTAATTATAGAAACGGTTGATCGAATTAGTTTTGCCATCCTATACAGTATATAAAAAGAACTGTAGAGAAAATCCATTGAATGTCTTTGTCTTTAAGACTCAAATTAAGATGAATGTAGAACTGGTGGCAAAAAAAAAAAAAAACTGTAAAGCTTAGGTGATTCTGTCGAAAATGAAATGAAATTAAAATAAACTAAATTAAATTAAAATAATAAAAAAATAAATATAATATAATTACACAAACAAACACATAAATAAAATAATTACACAAACATAAATAAATAAATAAAAATTAAATTAAATAATTGCACAAACAAATAAATGAATAAAAACAAAATAACTACACAAATAAATAAATAAACTGAAATAATTACACAAAAAATAATAATGAATACACAAACACAATCAAATAAATGAATAAAATATAAAATAAAACAATTACATAAACAAGTTAATAAAACAATTACACAATCAAATAAATAAAATAATTACACAAACACAAATAAATAAATACAGAAACAAACAAATAAACATAATAATTACACAAACAAATAAAAATAAAATTACACAAAAATAAATAAATAAAATATAAAATAAAATAATTACATGAATAAATAAATAAAATAAAATAAAAACAGAAATACTTACACAAACAAATAAATAAAATAAAATATAAGATAAAATAATTACACAAACACATAAATAAACAACAAATAAACAAATAAATAAATAAAATATAAACTGAAATATTTTGAAAACAAACACATAAATAAACAAACAATAAATAAATAAAATAATTACACAAACAAATAAATAAATACATAAATAAATAAAATATAAAATAAAATATTTACACAAACAAATAGATGAATTCAAATACAATAAATATCTATTAAACAAATTCAAAGAAGTTTAGCTAATAAAATGCTTTGGCTGCTTCGGTAAAACAGAAACTGGGTTAAAGGCAAAAATGGATTATGCGCCGTGGAAAACAGAGCCTCTGAAGGAAGTGTGAAGACTATTAAAAACCTTTAAAGAACCAGAATAAAACTACATACTTGATTTGGTTTGATGATTTATTCTATTTGGATCAGTTTATTTCCTGGTTACAGTCATTGGTCCGGACTGAAATCTTCAAGAGTGTTTAATATTAACATTATTAATATATAACATTATGGAGAATGTATTTTCTATCCGCAATATAAATCTAACAATGATGTCTATTTGTTTAGCTCAAAATTATTATTATTATTATTTCTTATATTATTATTATTATTATTATTATTATTAATGTTATATTATAATTATTATTATATTGTTATATTATTATATTGTTATATTAAAATAATAATTATTATTATATTAAAATTATTATTATTTTATATTGTATTATTAGTGTAATTGTTATTATTATTATATTTTTATAATTGTGATATAATTTTTATATTATTATTATTATATTATTAATATTATGATTATTGTATCTTATATTAGTATTAATTTTAATATTATTATTATTACTATATTATTTTCATTAAATTATTATATCATTATTATTATAATTATATTATTATTATATCATTGTTATATTATTATTACTACTATCATCATTTTTATTATTATTATTTTTTATATTAGTATTAATTATAATATTATTGTTATATTATTATTTTATATTATTATTATTATATCACTGTTATATTGTTATTATTATTATTATTATTATTATTATTATTATTATTATTATTATTATTATTATTATTATTATTATTATTATTATTATTATAAGTGGTCCAGACAGTTAAGTGTATTTTATTATAACTGACTCTCTTTAAATTCACAATTAAGTATTAAAGGTGTAATTAAGATGAACTTTCCATAAAAGAAAACTTTCCAAAATGTGTGATGAAAAAAAGAAAATAAAGGAATAAAGCTTGTGTTGTTTCTTTTTTCCAAAGACTTAAACTCTCATAATTAATTTTTTATAGACAAGTAAAAAATCATCTATTTGTTTCTCACACACTAGCTTGAACATCATAAACCCGTCCCTTTTCTGAATGAACGAGCAAACCAAATGCATCTAAATGAAGAAGGTGTGCTTCATCTATACAGCAGGTGGAGAATGACCTTTTAACATGTCACTCACATCAAACTCTTCCCAGAAGCCGGCTTTAATCTTTTTATCGGCCCCGTCCATCTTCTCTCTCTCTGAGGTCTGGTCGAGCTGATTTACTCTGCTCTGAATATCAGCGGCGTTCAGCCTCGTCGAGTAATAGGGCTGCGGAAAACAAAGAGGACATCCACACAAAGACAGACAGACAGAAAGGTTGAAGATTAATCACATTTCCCACACTTCTTTGTTTGTCACACTTTAAAGAAGATAACTTCACGCTTCAGTCTTTTAATGTCAGCAGAACTGATGCTCCTGAGTCAAAGTCAGCATTTACACACTATATACAGTTATAAATATGATCTAAAACTATTTGTAACATATATTACAACATTTTGGGTTTTAAAATAAAGAGTTAATTTGCAGAAATTGATAACTCATGCTTTTGGATTTTAGTGCTTTTCAGAAGTGTACAGTTATGGGGAATAAATCAGATTCAAATTGAATTTATTTTTCAGAAATGCAAAGTTTTACGTTGAGGATTGAACTGAAAAAGTAAAAATAAAAATAAAAAAATAAATAAATAAATAAAATACATGATTAATAGAAAAGTTTTTTTAGTGTTCAAAAATCATGTTTTTACTTGAGTATGTAATTATAAAAATACATTTAAAAAATTGTCAAAAACCTTACACAAACAAATAAATAAAATATAAAATAAAATTACGCAAACACAAATAAGCAAAATATAAAATAAAAATACACACACACATAAATAAATAAATAAATAAATAAATAAATAAATAAATAAAATATAAAATAAAATAATTACACAAACACATAAATGAATAAATAAATAAGTAAATAAATAAATAAAATAATTACACAAACACATAAATAAATAAACTAATAAATAAATAAATAAATATAAATAAAATGATTACACAAACACATAAATAAAAATAAATAAAATAATTACACAAACAAATAAATAAAAAATAAAATAATTACACTAACACATAAATAAATAAATAAATATATAAACTGAAATAATTGCACAAATAAATAAATAAAATAATTACACAAACAAATAAATATATAAATTAAATAACTATTATATATTATATTATATAGTATTATATTTTAAAAATGCATTTATGAAAAAAACATGACGTATCCTTAAACTGTAGCTTTTTATTGTTCAGAAGTCATGTCTTTACATTGAGTATTGAATCATGTATTAATATATTCATAATAAAATACAGTACACACTTAAATTATGTCAAAACAAACTTTTATTTTGGATGTGATAGCAATTAATTATTGCAATGCAATAAAAGATATATAAAAGTTAATCTACGATCATATCTTTCTGCTAGACTAAAAAAAACTATCGGGAAAAAACAATTAATGTCAGCTGCAAGAAAACACTGCTTTTGTCTGCAGTGTCTTGGATTAATACCAGAAGCTGACCAGTTGCTTGACCTTTAAGATATTAAACATGCTGATTGGGGGAAAAAAAAAAAACATCAGTTTACTTTACCTGTTTGAGATAAACCATTGTGCCAGACAACTCCTCAATACCAACACGCTTGAAATGCTCCACAAGGTCTGTCAAATTATCAAACTGGTCTTTACCACCGACGGTGTAGCGGTCATTCTGCAAATAAACGTGCATAAGAAAGTCATCGTTAACAAATCTGGCAGATTCATACACGCCGGCAACATGAGGTTTATTACCATTTAATAAACTACTTATTTAAAATGAGCTGAAACATAATTCTTTAGGTTTTTGGGAGACAACTTAATTGTTTTATGTTCAATCCACTTAAGTTTGTAAAAACTAATATTATAAATTGAATTCCTTCTTGTTGTCCAAATAAATCTATTGTGTGGAACTATTTTGTGTTTAAAGGTTTAAAGACAAATTTGTAGGTAGTATTTATAGGTTTGATATTGCAGTATGCAGTTTGTAAATTTAAATGATTAGCTTTTTTACTGTCACTGTATTGAGATCAAAACTAATGAACCTTTTTCACAAGACATGACGAGTTTAACAGTCATCAGCATCTTAAATCCTCTAAAGTTTTTATTTTTTTGTATTTTTTTTTTTTAGATTGCTTTAAAACATATGTACATTTAAATGTATTCATGTATGTATTATATCATCTGTGCATCATATGACAAAAAACAAATGACCGCTTGAATGACAAACAAATGAAGCGTTTATAATGCAACATTATATTGTTGGCATTGTTCTCTCTTCTGGCTGCCAATATCAGTCTCACACTATTTCTTTTTCTGAAAGTCTTGATAACATCATCATGGAGTTATTTCTATTATTTCAGTAAATAGGATTTTTTTTTTTAATGATTGTTGTACAGTCCCTTTCACTGTGCTCTAAGTTTACTTAACTAAGACGACTTCTGCTACTGAGAAACCTGAAAATGTGAAAAGTTTCATAATTAAGAAATTAAATATTGTACTAATCTAAAATATGAGAATTTCAGTTTCATTGATTTTATATTGATTATAAATACAAAGTGGGACTAACTGTATTCAAATAAGCAGTTAGTTAAATAAACAAATAACTTCTTTTTTCTTATTTTTTACCCATAACCTCCTAACTTTATTTTTAGAAATACATTAAATCAATTAATACAATAGTCTTTTTTTGTCTTAAGCTAAAAACAAATAATGATATAAAACCAAATTATCTATAGCCGGCTTTCCATCCTAACTTGAAACCATTTTTTTCAAGGTTCGCAAAAAAGAAAAAAAAAAAACTCAAATGGGAATTACAGGTGCATTTCTAGCAAGCTGTTAAAAAAGCCCAGCTATTAAAAACTAAGACAATTATTAATCCTAGTTAATGGAAACTACAGCATTTATTAATATAGTTCTCAGCATATATGAGTAAACCCCCCACAAGTCTCTCATTTAAACTAATACTTTCTATAGGAAGCTTTACAATATTAAATTTGTGCATATACATTAGACCAAATCTGGAGCTATACTAACAAAATAACTTATGATAAATGTTCAAAAATTAGTAGCCCAAATTTGTTAAAGAAAAATATTAAACAAAATTTTCAAAAACAGCAAAAATCAAAAGAAACAAAAAATATTTACAATTTTAATGAAATGTTGTAGCTTGTATGCTTTTGCAACATTTTTCATAAATTTAAATGTATTATCTTTATATTTGTAAAGATGTTTTGTGGCTAAAATAGTATTTATATATATATATCTATATATATCTGTTATATATATCTGTTATATATATATATATATATCTGTTTAATAAATCTGTTTTGTTCAATTACACAAATAAATATTACCCATATTCATTCAGAAATATATAAAATATTCATATTTAACATGGGGCGTATTCATTTATACTGTATCTTAATGACATAAAATTGTCTCTGTTGATATAATTTAATGCGTGTGTGCTGCATGACGTAAATCAAACTCAAATCAAATACTTGTATTTTTATTAACTAATGTTAAAAATAAATACTGATTGTACGTTTATGCTTGTCAGTCCATTAACTTAAGTAAACCAACAACAGCATACAGTAAAAGATAAGTCAAACTTTCGATTCATTATTTTAATTGAGCAGTCAACTTAAGATTTCCTATTAAACTGTTATTCAGATTGTGTTCTCATTGTTTAACCTATAAAAAAACTCATTCATAAACCATTAAAATGGCAACACAGAAAGCTTTCTTTGTGTTCAGACTAGATTAAAAGCAGAAAGTGTCCACTGGCGAGGGCTTAAAAGTTCTTGGCTAAACTAGGGTTAACGCAGGCCGCTTTAAGAAGTTTTATCTGCATTGTTTGTTTCTGTGAGCTGATTAGACCCGTCTTCACAGAACATGGTTTGTTCTGTTAATCTGCTCACAGGGCAGCAGCGCTGGCGTTTTTTTCTGCTCTTTGAAGCACATGCACACACGCACATACCAGTGGAAGAAATTAACAATCGACAAGCAGTGCGCTGACCTGATTTTCCCCTGGTCATAATCTCGTACCATTCATTAAAACAGCACAACAATAGCGCTTTTTTAGCACGAACAACCCCCGCTTACGTCCACACACTCGTGACTCAAAGTCCAGTCGCCTTCCCAGGTAAGAGCGAACAGGTATATAACTGTCATACTGTGTGTGTGTGTGTGTGTGTGTGTGTGTGTGTGTAGTGTACTTATTTATACTGCGCACAAGTGTGTCAGACATGTTTATGTGTATTTGTGTTAAACTATGTCAATGTGGGCAAATCTTATGCTGTGTGTTTGTGTGTAATGTACTTATTTATACTGCGCACAAGTGTGTCAGACATGTTTATGTGTATTTGTGTTAAACTATGTCAATGTGGGCAAATGTTATGCTCTGTGTGTGTGTGTGTGTGTGTGTGTGTGTGTGTGTGTGTGTGTGTGTGTGTGTGTGTGTGTTTGTTAACGTCATACTGGAAATGCTTACAGTTATGGAGTTTCTACCGTTTTTAATATCTACTACATATTAAATTTCCCTTTAGATTCCAGACATTACATTTCCATTGAATCATCTGGCAGATTCATGTATCCGAAATGACTTACAAATGAGGAAAGTAGAATTAAAGCAGAAAAAGAATAGCATGTGCTGTAAAGTGTCAGTCATTCTAATTCTATTAAAGAAATATATATTTATATCTCTATGTCTTTATATTTATATAGAGAGAGAGCAGAGTGCCAGTGTTAGAATGTCAGCTTTTTGGTTTTAAAAAAACACAGAAAAGTGTAAAGAGAAAGGAATAATAAAAAATTATTTTAAGGTAATGAAACTTAACACTTAAAGGGATAGTTCACCCAAAACGAAAATTATGTAACAAAAAAATTAATAACACAAAAGAAAATATTTTGAAAAACTGAAATCCTGAAGCCATCAACTTAATGTAGTATTTGTAGTTCTTACTGGGAGTCAATGGTTTTTAGCTTTCTTCAAACTATTTTCTTTTGTTAAGAACAGAAGATAAATCTCATAACCATTTGACCACTTTGAGGGAGAGTAATCATCAATTTTTGGGTGAACTATCCCTTTTTTTACCGGTCTTCATTGACCTCAATATTTTAGCTGTTTTTAATTAAAACGAGTCACATATAAAATATGTATCATATAATGTAAACACTTGAACTGTATAAATTGGAAATTATACTGCCATTCATTAAAAAAAACAACATTTATTCTTTACAATTAAACTAAAACTACACTGCCATTCATTTGCTTTCCTTATTCAGCACTAATCCTAACTTGTGCACACTTTGTCTAATTTTCCCTCCATTAAGCTAGTTAGATCATACACATTTCATATGGTAAAAAAAATACTTTAGGCCAGAAGCCAATCTGATGAATGGGCTGGTTCTTTTGCAGTTGTTCACCTTATTTTCTATTGAATTATGAGATTTAAATATTGCATTTTAGTGACATTTTAAGCACTATCTTTAGCTGGATAAGCTTGTCGGATGGTCATCATAACCACACTTTTTGAGGTACCAAACACATTTGCTAAATATTTAGAATAAAGAAATACGACAAAATGTATTACATCATATATCACTTGGGGGAAAAAAAGAAGTCTGTTAAAGTTTTAAATAAAAAAACAAACAAACTGTGGCCTATTGTCATTTATTGGGCAAACAACAAACCATCATATTCATATTCCATGGCCAGCATATTCAACTCAGTCATAATTTGGCCATCTGAATACACAATTTATGATGGCATATATATATATATATATATATATATAAATTTTTTTTTTTTTTTTTTTTTTTTTTTTTTTAAAGATTTAAAATATTTTGGAACAGTAAACATGTCAGGCTGAATAATTAAAATGATTCACTGACTTCGGCTGTCTTCATTAGTTTAAAACCAAAACTAAAAAAGTAAAAGTAAATAAAAATTCTTAAATATACCTTAGTAACGGTATTACATAAAACTGTGGCGGTTTTAAAACCTTGACTTTTACAAACTGCGGTATACCATAAAAATGGTTAGTCACATGTTTAGTATACACTGTAAAAAAATGCAGTGTTCCACACAATTCATTCATGTTGCCCCCAACACAAATAGATGAAGTAAACTTTAAAAATGTAAGTGGACTGAACATAGAACAGCTAACTTATCCTAAAGAAATCTTAAGAATTGTGTTGTTTCAGCTTATTTTAAATAAGTAGTTTGAACAAGCAGCAAACATATGTTTTTGAGTGTATAGTAAAGTTAGTTTAATGCAAGTGTAAGTTGCTTTTTGTATTAGCAACCTTTTCCAAACTTATGGTATGAAGTGTAAACAAAACACACATCTTGACAACGTCACATTTAAAAGCCGTAAAACCAAGCCCTTCATGTCAAATGATAACATATTGTCAAAAAAAAAGAGGACAATGTATTCCCTCACTGTTAACTTTGATATATCTAGAAGTTTTTGTTATACAAGGTGATATGACCTGTTTTCTTTTTTTTTTTTTTTTATTAAGATGCCCCTGTTTTGTGTACTCCTTTAGATGTTGCCAAGCCTCTCATGTTAAATGATAACATATGGACGGAACAAATATGGTACACTCTGTTTTCTCACTGTCAACTTAGAAAGTCTGGAACAATATATATTTTATTTTTATTATGTTTATTTATTTAAATTTTTTCTTTCAATGCCGTGGTTGTGGTAGAGGAGGGGTAATGTACTGCTTTAAATTGTTAATGCAAAAGCTCAATAAATAAATAAATAAATATATAATAAATAAATAAAAATGTAAAATCTCATTTAATTTATCATTACATACAATGTCTTCCTGCCGTCTCATTTTAGTTGACTTACTACAAAACACTGAGCTCTAATGACTCACATGTATGTTTGTATGAACACATGCACGCACACTTACATTGCACATGATCTTAATATGGGAGACCCTCCTTCCAGAACTGGTCTGGTCATCGGTGAGTGCAGAAAGCACAAAGTCTCCCGGTTTGGAAAGTGACTCTCTGACCAGAAACGTCCCGGGCTCATTGCGCTCCCGGAGCAACTTCTCAGCATTTGGACCAGACAAATGGCCATGATACCATCTGAAGATGTAAACGCAAAGAAAAAAGGTCACTGTGAACTTCAAACTACAGTCTGCACATTATAAAAATTAGATGCCATAATAACCAAAACATTTCTAGGTCAAACAGTAGAGTATGTTATATTAAAATTCCTTTTCCGTAGTACAGAGAAACTGACGCAAAATAAACCAGTCAAGGTATTTAGAGGACAGCAGTTTCTAAAAATAAAAAACTAGAGCCAAACAGAGCTGCACCACAAACCACTGTAGCCATGAACACAAAAACAAGAGGCTGAACATTCATGTCACCATCTACATTTCCAATACTCATATATTTCTAGATCATGATGCAAAAGTTTGGAGGTCCTCACATTCTACCATGCGAAAATGTGAGTTAACAATTGGGCTCAGTTCTCAATTTCAGCATCTCAGCTTCCTGTACTGCGGTCGGAAAATTTTCTGATGACAAGATTTCTTGACTCGAGACTTTGGTGTATTTTTAGCTTGTCCTTCCTTCTCTCTTCTCTTGTGAAAAAAAAAAGAGAAAAAGGACTTGCTTAATCGCCTCTCGGGGGGTGGAGGGGGGAGTGCTTTCTCACAAAATAATGATTTTGGTGTCTTTGAATAATAATAAAGACAAATTATTTATTAAATACAACAAAACGCATGACAAATATAATAAGTCATGCAATCAGGAATTCGCATTAGGAATACTTGCCATATGCCTTTAAGTGTAATTGTATTGTTTACAAATTTTTATTTTTTACTTATATCTTTGGATTACATTATATGTATAATTTTATTTTTTGTAATTTCTTCTTAAAATTCTACTCTTTGTATTTATATTATATGTTAGGCATTTGGGGTCTGAGAGTAACACAATTTCAATACTCTGTCCTGTACATGTGGTTGAATTGACAATAAAGCTGACTTTGACTTTATTCGGCGTATTCTGTCATTTTATTGCATTGTAAAAAGACAGATCTGTCCGATTTTAGAAGAGACCTAAAAGTTTCATCTTCTTTATTTCTGGCAATCAAAATATTCTACACACTTAATGTGAGTGTCAAATGTATGAAACGTTATGTCATTACAAATTCTCCTCCAATGTGACTGACTTTAAAATGTAATTTTCTTTTGGCACAGATAACAATAACTGGTTAATGTGCGAGACAGCATTATGCACTGTTGGTGCATGGTGAAACTAACATTTGTAAGACAAATTTTATAAACCTTTAATGTGAAAAATTGGGTTTAATGCATGACAAAAAAAATATACATATAGACCAAATTTAATGTCCAGTTTTTTAAAAAATATGTTTATTATGTACAGGCAAAAAGATCAACCCAGAAAATTTGAATAACATGCAAAATTGCATGTTACATGTAAAACTGCTAAAAAATTAGATGCATATTGTGATCTAATGCAACACAAAAGTGAAATGCGGGATAGAGGTCTAAAATATATAACTTTCCTAATGCATTAAGCCTCATGAAGCAATATTTCTAATGATTAACTAAAGAAGTAAAATGGTTAACAAACATTGTAAATATTGTTCAGCTTGTGTTAAAATTATATTTATAGTCATTTAAATATAAAGCATACAAAAAAATTATATTCTTAACCTAACTCTATACTGATTTTGGTCTTTTAAAATCAAGTTCTCATTGCATTTAGCCATATAAAACACTTTTCATGCTAAACATTTTAAAAACAAAATGACCTTCCCTGCCCAGCATTTCACTGGCTCCCCCACAAAATAAGATCAAATAGTTAGACCAATAGTTTTCATTGACCATAACCTTGCTTTGCAATAAGCTTATGTTATAAACAAATTAATTATAAACTTATACATTTATGAATAATCTATCCTTCAGTTTTTTTATAACAGACTTGAAAAACCTTATGTAATCAAACATAGTCTTCACTAAATTAAATTTAAACCTTTTAAAATCTACAGAAGTTATTGAGTCAATATGAATCAAATAATCCCCTATACCCTTAAAGAGGATCTATTATGCCTCTCTTTACAAGATGGTAAACATGCCTGTGATGTCCATGTTTGTGAAGTTTCTGCTCAAAGTAAACCCTAAAAAACCCTAATCTTTTAGGCTTTGATCCAAATTGTGCCGTTTTGGAGACTGTTGCTTTAAATTCAAATGTGATTTAGCTCTTATGCCTCTTTTCACAAAAGAGTGGAGCTAAAATGCTCACATGCATCAGCAAAGTGGCAGATTCAAAAAAGGACATTATCTGTGCATTATCGGTGCAAAAACTCAGGGCTGTCTATGCTAATGAGGGAGAGATCGTCACAAATGGGCGGGGCTTTCCCCCTCTGATGACATGTAAAAAAGCCAATGCCAATAAAACTGTTGATGCAGACTGTGAATATAAAAAATAGAATTAATATTTTACCATTAAGAGAATATTCAATATTCAAGCACTTTTGCCACACAATGAATACTTAAAAAAGTGTTTTTTGCATAATAGAGTACACTATTTGAGAAAACAGCCACTTGTAACGATGTCAGAAACCAAAGTGAACATTCTGATCTTAACTTATTCAATCCTACAATGCATTGCAATACCTAGAGTACAACCAATGTACACTCAATGGCTAGAGAATACACAATGCACTGTGAGAGTTTACGTGCCAAATGATTTGCCCATCCATGGTGGAATCCTATTGGTGCAAGTGTAATATCCTATAGTGTAATGTGACAGAAATCAATGACCTGGCCAAGACATTTAAGATCTATTTTTATCAACCAGCAAACCACAAACAAAATGGCACAGAGCTTGAATATGTTTACTCATTTTCATTCAGTCGTTTAAGTGGACTACATCAATGACCTAATAAAGGTAATGGTCAACACTGGCTCATTGGGAATATGTGCTCAGGGCTACATTTTTGAGAACTAAAAATATGTGCTTGAGGGTACATAATGGCTACATCTTGTTAAAAAAAAAAAATCCTACAGGGCAATACGGATGTCTTATCCGATGTGACTGGTTTGATCGTAGCTACTAAAATACTGATTCATGTCCTATTTCTGTCTCATTTGTAAATTTTCACTTGAGAAATCACCACAAAAATGGGTATTGGGTCAAAGCTTCATTTGTTAATCCACAAGAAGAAACCCAATTCATGGTTTCCATGCTGTAATACATAAAAGGCTCAGCAGAAATTTGACTCAGGTTTTTCTGTTTTGTCCTTGATTTTACAGTAAATGACTGGCAGTTGTGCTTGCCAACAATCTACTGTTTTAGTAAAATAAAAAAATAAATAAGCAAAGTATTTTACTGCACAATCTGGCCTTTTTCTAGAGCATTTTTTATTACATAAGAAATTCAGATCCTAACTGAGAAACACTGCTCTTACCCATAGTGCTAGATTTAAAAAATCATACATGTTTGCAATGACATTGCAGGTCACTAAATGATGACTTTTTTGGGGGCGGAGGGGATGAATAACTTGGCAGAATAAAACGAAATATCTAAAATGGCAGAAAGAAAGCTGATTATTTAATAAACACTTACCATTTTTGGGGCGATTTACAAACATACATCAACTGTGCAACTTTTGTGGTGCAAGAAAGCTTACAGCTCAGTTTGAATCAAGTTCATCACAAGCATGACCAAAAAAGAAAAAGAGACAATAAAGAGACGAAGGAAGGCCTGAATGGGTCTGGTCACTGTTTGCAAATGTGTCAAAACTAAAGTTTCCAACCGCAGTAGAAAAGAGGAAGTCAGACACATGGCAGAGGGTGGGGTGGAGTATGTCTGCAATTCAAGATTCTTCAACTTGAATTAAAAAGCATTCATTAAAATTAATGAGCTATTTATAAAATGCCACTTTGAATAAAGGGATTCAGAATCAATCAAAAAAGGAATTCTGTCAAACTAGGAAATATGATAAAATAAAATAAAATTAATATAATATAATATAATATTATATAATATAAAACAATGCAATAAAATATAATATAATAGATCTTTTTAATTTGTGATCTCACACTTTTGCACTTGTTAACTATTACTTTAACTATTTTATAATTATTATAGTATAAAATGTAAATATTTATTATGCATTTATTTATTACTGCAATTTAACCATGATTAATTCACTTGCATTCATGTTACATTAATCTGTGTTAATGCAGTTTTATTTATTTAGTGAACGCAAAATAACTGCAAAATAATCACTGATACCACTTTTCTTTTTGCATCAAATAAAATTAAGCATAAAAAAAAGAAACTAAATGAAATCTAACAGTCTTTCATATCTAGATAATGTCCATTTTTCATTTGCAGGTTTATCAGAATGCGCATCTTACATTTGTCATGTTAACTGATTTCTACTTGACGATCAGGCTAACTATCTCTTAAAACTGTTTGGTGTTTTTCCTCTTCATTTGATAAGATTACTGGCAGCAGTGGAAGGCATGTTGGAGACTTTGTTCCTCAATTTGTGACATAACTGAAAGTAGAATCTGGAAGGATTCCAGCGTGTGATAAAATAAATAATCATGTGCAATAAATAAAATGATTGACCAAATCAATGAACCAACAGCAGGGCCAGGCAAACCCAAGAAGATTGTTAGTACATGATTCACACTGGCAGTCATACACAGTTCAAGAAACTGCATACATGTAGAACATTACACTCCCTCATAACTTTCAAAATTAATACGCAGTTTAACCAGTTTCTATAGTAAACCACTGTCTGGAAAGCTAATTGCCTTTTTGTCTACTTTATTCATGTAGTTTTACTTACTGATTTACACATTCTACACTTTCAGAAAAAAAGTTACAAGGTGGTACAAATAATGTTCCTTAAGGAACAGTTTTGTACTTTTGTAAAAGTTGCACCTTATATGGTACAGAAAAGACCTCTTATGATACTGTTCTGTACCTTTTATGGTACAGCTGAAATGAAGATACAGAATTGTTCTCATATAAAAGGTAAAAAGTGTTGGATTGCTCTTTTTTACAATATCTATGAAAATAAATATTACTGGAAAGGCAAAGTGATTTTATGAATAATTTCCATATTAAAACATGAATCATCATTTAAAAGCATATGCTTAAAGAAACTCATACACATTAAGTAAGTTCTATACAAAACAACTTGTAAAACAAAACTATAGGTATTGTAAACTAAACATTTAAGGCATTTTTAATAAACATTTGATGAGCATTTTCTGATAAACACGTTTTCATTATTGATATCCGCGCCTTTTGGCATTTGCTTTTCAAAACGCATGTGAGCTGGCAAAAATCCTGCATATGCAAAGTGTTTACGCAGACATTTAAGCAGAAAGTATTCTGTAACATTTTTGAAATGTTAATTGTTAAAGTATTTTTTTATTCTTTATTGTAAATGTAAAAGGTGCATTTACACAAAAATAATCTTTTTTTAAAACATAGATAAACATTTTTTTTGATGTTTTATATTTACTGAAAAAATTGTACGTATTTTGGATATACAGTAGCAAAATGCCTTTGAATAGTTCTTGAAGGAACACATTTGATATTGTTAAGGTACAAAGTGTCTTGTCACAGTAGAGGTACCTTCATGGATCAGATTTTTACCTTTGAAGGTACAATATTGTATCTGCAGGTTTTAAACACCAAAGGTACAATTTGGTTTCCCTTGGTACAAATCATGTCCTTAAAAGTACAAACTGCAATGGTACAAATTAGTTTCTTTGTCTTAAGGTACAATTATGTTTCTATAAAAAGGTACTGCCCCAGTTACAAAGGTTTATACCTTCTTTGGATCAACATTTTACCATTTTTTTGAGAGTGTAACTAACTCTAAATACCATACAGGAGTAGTTTACTACAGTACAAAATAACATATACAATGTGAACTATATTCATCACTCTCTTTTCATCTTTCAACCAAAGAAGGATTCTGTCAGCTTTTTTTTAATGCTGGAGTGATGGACGGCTGAATCCATCTACTTCACTTGATCTTTCTTAAATACTCTACTTAAAGGACATTATTAGTTTGGAATTTACCACAGCCAAAATAAATAGTGCCAGCATCAAAATCATAAACTTTTGGTAAAATATTAAGACAAATATAAAGACAAACTGTATAAGATATGTTTCGATACAGATTTTGAACCTATTATTAAATTGTTAATGTTTTTTTTGAATTTACCTTACTGTTGGGTAGAGATATAGACAACATGAATATATGATGTGAAGATTACAAAATCTGATCTATATATAATAATATACAATATCTTTACTATGTATAATAATATATAACAGTATGCTTATATATAAAACTATTTATAATAATTTATTAATATATTTATTTAACATGTTTAATGTTAATAGATGTTATATTATGTTAAAATTATAAAAAAAATTATTAATATGTTTATTGAAAGCGTTGTTATATATATATATATATATATATATATATATATATTTTTTTTTTTTTTTTTTTTTTTTTTTTTTTTTTTTTTTACTTATTGTGTACTCTGCTACATCAGATAAGACAAGGAGGTATATACTTAAAAGCTTTTTTTATTTAAACAAAGGAATTGTTCCCAAGTAATGTTGAAACTTAAAGTATAATAACAGTACATTGGTATTTTTATTTAGACAAAGTAAACTTAAAAATATATGTGACCTTTCCTCACTGTAGGTATACCAGCGGTACACTACCAGTTACCATTATAAAGTTGCCAACCACACTACAGCTTCTAACAGAAATAAAATACAGTATAACTCTCTATAACTATGTACTTGACATAGATTTGTTAGCTTGCAGTTTAGCTAACATGTTTTTGAAAGAGGTAAAAAAATGTATTTGCATAAAATACCACTGCTAAAAACTACAGAGCTTCCAAACACTTCTCAAATGTGCAAATCAGCAACACTTCCTTGAATGATAATAAACAAATAATAAAAAATAAACTAAAACATGTAAATTGGTGGCTTTATGAGACAAATGGTTGAACATCGATGGCCTAGAATAGCTTATAAAAGCCCATTGCAGCCTTTATGTTTACATGGACAGCAATCATTTGAGTAGCATATACATTTGCAAACAGGTTTTCCAATTACCCAACATCACCATCTGCATTAAGCTTAGCATTGAACAATAAAGTTGTATGAGACATGGAAATATCACTTTGACCATTAAACTTTTTTTGTTTTTGACCGAACACCTAATATAACAACTTAAACATAAACAACTGATACAAACAAATGCTACATATTTTATTATAACCAACAGCAGTATGCAACATAAAGCATGACTAAAATGTTCACCCATTTGTGGGGTGCCTAAATAATTGGGATGTTCCCACCAAGCAAATTTGTTAATAATAGACATAGGCTTTTTAGAAAAAAATCTAATAAATATCTAACAATAGTTCCAAGATACAATATTTAAGACTATCGTTATATCTCTACTAGATATTCACTGACAGCTCAAATTTAACCTTGTTTTAGTCAAGATGTCTATTAGACATTTATTAAACGCACAAAAAAATGCTTGCTCGGTTGTATTGTAAATGTGAAAATTTAAATGGAATGATTCCATGATTAACCTATGTAAACATCATAACCATAATATTTTAAATGGTATGATGGGAGTCTGGACTTTGCATAGACAAGGTTAGCAAATGTCACATTTCATAAAACACTAAGTACATTGGTAAAATGCAGATAAAACTCATCCTGAAGGTCAGTATGCGGAATATCAGAATCTCCCAAAGCCAAAGGTCAAATAAAATGGCTAATTTGAGCTATTTCTTGTTTAACTTGGCAAACACACCTGGAAATGTCCTGAATGAGGGTCAGATATGATTGCTTACCTCTCTGTGGTGGGATCGGAACAGTTTAAAGGGTATTTGAGCTCAATAACAGTCCCATCTTTATCCTGTAGGGTTCCATGATCTCCAGTGTAGTACTCCACTAACTCTGCCAATGTGGCAAACTTCTCCCCACCATACAGGTCATAATAATCCCCTGTGTTTTGAATCCTAATGTGGGTGATGATCTCCCCAACTCTGGAGAAAAAAAAAGAGAAGACAGTTGATGATGTAAAATAAGTATTTCTACTTTATCATCGGAAAAATCGCTAAACATAGACTAATCAGAACAAAATCTATCAGCATCAGAATGCAATGTCAAAGGAAATTGAGAAACAGAAAGTTAGTGTGTAGAAATGTTATGTGAGTATGTAGTAATTACCTGAGAAGAAGACTTTTTTGCAAAGCATTGCAGCTATTTTTTTTGCTGTCATAGATATTGATTACCCATATCAATCATGCTTTTCACCAAAGTGTTTTCAAAAAGAAATTCAGGATAAAACTTGACCTTATTTCAACTCCCTTATTCCCTCATGAAACATTAGTGTCAGATTTAGAATAATATATATCCCATAAATGAAAGATTTATTAATAATTGATCTTACATTAATTATTAAACATTATCGTAAATGCTGTTTTATTTTAAAGTGTCCTCGATGTGTAAACTATTAAATAACATGAATTAACTCTAGCACAAACCCTAATCCTAACCTTACACTAATTACATTCAATAGTACAAGTACATTACCTTGTAATAAATACATTTTAAAGTAGTTTATTAGACAATAAACATTGTTTTACACTGGATTTGACTTCAATTGCAATTTTATCCATAGATAAAGTTTTAATAAACTACCAATATGGTTCAAAAAGTACAACTAAAAGCAAATCAATGCAATCAATTTGCTGATAAAAAAGTAAAAGATTTCTTCTATGTTACTGTACATGAAGATACAAATAAATCTATCATTAAATGAATTGTGAACTGTAGGTATACAGGTTTTCTTGAATTTTCTCTGACATGTTCCTGAGTAGGTCACAACAGAAGTATTGTTTCAAACTTTTGAGTTATTGACACTGATTTTTACCCTTTATAAAAGGTTGACTGACATTTGGTTGGCATTTACTAACACTAAAAAGGTAAGTGGAAGTCGCATCCCTGACAATGACGCAGCATGTTGATTTTGTTCATCATTGAGCAGATATTATGCAAAGTAGACTGGAAAACTGTATTTAAGCATATTTGACCATCTATATGTAAACACAAGTTTACGGTTTATGGAAAAAAAAGTGCGAATTATTACAATGATGGAGTCAACGGTTGCTGAAAGACACAAAATAAAAAGGGGAAATAAGAAAACAGGTTTAATAAAAGGAATGAGACAGCTGTAGCACGAAAATGTATGCACTGACATGTTTTAAGGTCAGAAAACCACAGCGCTTCTGAATAAGTGATGTACTGTATAAAAATACAGAACTATTAAATGCTTAGTCTGTGATGTCTTTGGATTTCTAAAAATGTAATAACTAAATAAATAACTGTCTTTAAGGGAAGCATATAAATGTTTTCTATAGTCGACAACACTGTGAGGCATAAAAGAATAACAAAACATGAAAATCAAACCAAATGCAGTAACATTCAGTACATAGAAAGAAATTAGAAGAGTTTTTTTAGACAACACACAGAGAGTTCATTTAAGAATTTGAGTATATAGTAGAACTATGTAGGGTATCTATCAGTCAATCTGACCTCAGCTTATCCTTGCTAGCATTGTTTTCTAAAGAGGGGTAGAAAACTGATATTTTTAAGCACACCAAATTAAAAGAAAAATGCTGTACCTAACAGAAAGGGAGAAATCGCCGACATTTTTCTTGCTTGGTCGAGCCAGGAAGCTGCCATGGACTCCTCGACTCTTCAAAACGGCTTCTGCATCTAATCCTGAAAGATCTCTGTGAAACCACCTGTTGAACATTTAATGCACAGCTGTTAGTGGAAAACTCTTTAGAGATGATAAAATAATGTTTTAAGTCATTGGTCCTAGAAGAACCGATGACTTAATAGTCACACAAATGCTAAATGTTTCACAAAAAGATGGTTATTACACTACAAATTTGGGACAAATATTAACAAAGTTGAGGTAAATTTTTTAACAAGATTTTACGTTTAATCCAATCATTAGTTTTGGTCATTTTTGACCATATTTAGGGTGAAACAACCCTTAAGAATTCTGTCTCTCACTCTTCATGTACATAGAATATATTAGAAGAAAATTTATTTTAAGTTTAACGTTTAACTAAGGATTCAGATTGTCCATATTTGGACCAAAATGTAGAGTGAAACAACTCCATAAAATATTGATATGTACAGTTACTACATATACATATATATCTGAAATCAGAATTATTAGCCTTCCTGTTCAATTTTAATTATTTTCCCCCTATGTTCTGTTTAACAGAGAGATTTTTTCAACGCATTTCTAAACAATAGTTTTAATAACTCATTTCTAATTTTCTTTATCTTTGACATGTTGACAGTATATTACTCTAGATATTAATTAGGTTAATTAGAGAAGTTATGGTAATTAGGCAAGTCTTTGTATAGCAGTGGTTTGTTCTGTAGACTACCATAGTACAATATTATAGTAAAAACTATACTGGCCAAAATAAAACAAATAAGATTGTCTGTAGAAGAAAAAATAATGTCAGAAATCCTTTGAAAATGCACTCATACATTTGTTAAACATCATTTGAGAAACATAGGATAAATATTGCACAGGAGGGCTAATGATTTTGCACTCAACTATATGTATACATATATACAGTATAACTGGCTGCATTTATCCACATCATGAGAATTACGGTTTAGATTTACCAGTTAACTTACAAATAATTGTTGTCAGACACATTTAAAACATCTTATTACAGAAAAAAGACTTTTAAAAATACTCACTATAGTGTAAAATGATTTTACGACAAAAAGTCAAGACAACTAATATTTTTTATGTTTAAGTTAATCAGGTTTCAACATTTTCATAAGTTCTACACAGTTTAACCTAATATTCCTTTTATCTTTATCATGATGACAGCACTTATTACCCTAAGTATTTTTCAAGATACTAGTATTCAGCTAAAAGTGCAATTTAAGGGCCTACCCAGGTCATTTTGGTTAACTAGGAAAGTTATGGTAAATAGGCAAGTCATTGTATAGCATGGGTTTGTTATGTAGACTATCGTAGTAAAATATCGTAGTAAAAACTATACTGGCCAAAATAAAACAATAAGGACTTTCTCTAGAAGAAATCAGAAATCCTTTGAAAAGGATATTTGTAAAAATTTTGAAAAAGAATAAATATTGCACAGGTGGGCTAATGATTTTGTCCTCAACTGTATACATCCAGTTGAAGTCAGAATTATTACCCCCGTTTATTTTTTTCCCCAATTTCTGTTTAACCGAGAAAAGATTTTTTCAACACATTTCTAAACACAATAGTTTTAATAACTCATTTCTAATAACTGATTTTTTTTTTCTTTGGCATGATGACAGTACATAATTTTTTACTAGATATTTTTAAGAGGTACTAGTATAAAGCTTGAAGTGACATTTAAAGGCTTAATCAGGTTAATTAGGTTAACTAGGCAGGTTAGGGTAATTAGGCAAGTTATTGTATAATGATGGTTTATTCTGTAGACTATCAAAAAATATATTAGCCTAAAGGGGCTAATTATATTGACCTTAAAATGGCTTTTAAAAAAGTTAAAATAGCTTTTATACTAGCCAAAATAAAACAAATAAAACTTTCTCCAGACGAAAAAAATATTATCAGACATGCTGTGAAAATTTCCTTGCTCTAATCATCATATAGGAAATATTAAAAAAAGAAAAAAATTCAAATGGGGGCTAATAATTCTGACTTTACTGTATATACAGTAGATAACTGTGTGGATTTATCCACATCGTGAGATATGCCATTTAAATTTAACAGTTAACTTGCAAATAATTCTTGTCAGACATATTTAGAACAACATCTTATTACAGAAAAGACTTTTAAAATACACTGTAAATGATTTAATGACAAAAAGTCAAGACAACTAGCACTTTTATGTTTCTTTAACTTCGATTAATTTAATCAGGTTTGAATATTTTTGACAGATTGACAGTTTTAGTCAGTTTGATTAATGCAAGTTAAGATAACTAAAAAAGTGAATTGGATTCAACTATAACATTTAAGGCAGTCTTTTGTCATTTAAAACCTTTGTAAATTGGCACCACCAAATCACTATGTTTAACCCATATTTCAGTTTGAAATTTTTTTTAATATTATACATATGACTATGATCACTTTTATACAAATATGAATGAGTCGTTACATTTTATATACAGTGCTCAGCATTATTGAGTACAGCCCATTTTGAAAATAAATACATTTATCCATTTCTCAGTGAATATAGAAAATGCATTTTGGTGCATTTAAACAAAACAGATTTATTAAACAGATATATTTATTAAAATAATATTTTAGACACCAAACATATTAAGAAATTGAAAGATAATATAATTAAATTCAAGCAAAATATTGCAACAAAAAAATACAATTATATATATATATATATATATATATATATATATATATATATATACATATATATATATAAATATACAATATTACAACCTACAAAATTTCAACAGAATTTTTAACTTTTTTTTTTTTTGCTTCTTTTGATTTTTCCTCTTTTTTTAAATTTGTATTTAATATTTTTCGATAACATATACATTTGGCTGTACTAGCTTTAGGACCGTTATGGTAATTTTGTTAGATATACTCCAGATTTTGCTTCAGTACCGGCTAATCTAATGTACATACACAAATATAATATTGTATAGCTTCCAATTAAAAATATGAATATAAAAGATAGATTTGTGTGGGGTGTACTTATATATGCTGAACTCTGTATTGCTGAACTTACATGCAAAAACCAAACACACTCTGTCAAGGCCTACCAAACCACCAAGTGCAATTGCAAAAATGCACACACGCATTGCAACCAGGCACGCATCAACACATAACCCAAAAGCACTTCACAGTCACATACACTTTAAATTGCCAAAGGCAGAAAAGAGTCTGAGGTGCAAAATACAAGAATAGCAAAACTAAAAAAGGGAAGATGAGAAGTTGAACAAGATTGGAACAAGTGCGTGAAAAGTCTGTCTCAACTTACCGAACCATCTTCCCTTTTCAAATGTTCCTCTTCCAGTCGAAAAGAGAAAGAATTGAATGCATGTTAGTATGGTAATATATATATGAAAGAGGCACACACACACTCATCCAGTACAGTGGTGTCATGTGTTTGCACTCATCCTCTAGTTTTTCCTCTTGCCCCCCTCTGTCTATACCCAGTGCAGTGCAACCAACCACAGCCCATAATCATTAGTCTAGCGGCTTCATACCTGCCCTCGGCTTCTCCTTCTGTCTCGACACGTAAACAGGGTATTCTGTGCTTAGAAGAGCCGGTCGTCCTGACAGCATATATATGCCTGTCGTTCGTCCCTCCCTCTCTCTCTCACTCACTGTTACAAACTTCTTCCTTCCTTTTTGCGGCTTGTTCATAAAACAGTGAAAGCAACAAGAGAGGCAGAGAAAGATACAGAGATGTCAGATTTGTTTCTGTTTTTATTTTAAGCTGCTTTTTTGTGCTTGTAAATCATGAAACAAACATGTTAGCACCGACAGGCAAACATTCAGCTCAATGTTTGAAACGTTCAACAGTTAGATAGAGGAACTTACAGGCTAAACAAAACAATGACAACAGCAAAATGCAAATTACCCTCTCTTGCGGTGTCTTTCTGCTGGTTTTACTCTTGCTTGCTTTGTTCCTTCATTTGAGTGCTTGTCTGGCAGGTTGATTTTTTACAGGTTGGGTGTCTAACCTGGAGTCTGACAGTTAAAGTCCATTTTGTTTAAGTGCACATTGCACTTCCTTGTTTCCAGACCTTCACCTTTCATACACTCGTACACATTCACGCGCACATACAAATAAACACATGAGGAAGCACAGAAACCTGATGCGTGTCATGTTTGTTAACTGCAGCACTAAAGTTGTAATTATTATTGTTGTTATTATGTCATAATGGCCTATAGGCAATGAGCTATTTATTTTAAATACTTCATATCAAAACATTTTTAGAAACTACACACCAATATTAAAAAATTTGGAGTCGTACAAGTGTTATTGTTTAGGACAGTGGTTCCCAAAGTGGGGGTCGTGACTCATGGAGTCATCTTTACACAAATTAAATACATAAAAAATAAATGCGGGCAAAAACTGAATATATTTGAATGATCTCTGATTAGTGGTCTCCTAAATTTAAACAAGAATAGACTTGTGCTGAAAGCCTCGTGTCCATCAGTGTCTTCAGCTTAGGTTAATGTTAAATTAAGCAATTAATAAATGGCTATAAAAATAATATGGTTGTTAGACTGTTGCACTTTTTCGTGTTTGCAATATGCTGACAATGTTTGCATATTTATAACCACCTCAGAAGAAATTGGGGGTCACGAGTTACTGGAATTGTTATTTTAAGGGTTGTGAGCTGAAAAGTTTGCCGACTCTTGGTTAAGAAAACCTAACAGAAGTATTTTAGATTAAGCTACTTAACTTATCATTTAGTAAACGATTAATAATAAAAATTTGTATTTATTATAAATATATATATATATATATACACATACACACACACACACACATACATACATACATACATATATATATATATATATATATATATATATATATATATACAGATATATACATATATATACAGATACATATATACATACATATACATACATACATACATACATACATACAAACACATACATATTATTTGACATTTCACCTGTGATGTTTCATTAATGTAATCCATCCTACTGAATAACAGTATTTTTCTAAGGTTGAAAAACTTTACATGTCAAAATTTAACATTGGTTAATAGCTTAAGTTCATCCAGAAAGGTGATTTTTTGCATTGCAAATGTTATCCTCTGACCCCAAACATGGCCACTGTAAGATTTGAATACATGCAAAGTCATGGATCCAATTTCACAATACCACATGATCAAGTGTTTTCTAAAGCTTCTGTGAGTAGCTCCTTCAATGGTTACTAATGACAGAAGTGCTTACAGATTTTAGCACCACACCTGCACAGATTAAAGTGTATTTTCAAAAAATATAAAACCAAACCCAAATACACAATTCTGGAAACATTTTACATTTTGAAAGGTGGTGAACACCAAAATTAAGGCATCTTGTATATATAAATATTTATATTTACCTGACAAAAGTCTTGTCGCCTATCCAAGTTATAGCAACAAAAAATAATAACGTCTAGTTGATCAATTGATATCAAAAGTGACTTATATGAAAGGCAAAAGCCTCTAGATTACGTTTTGTTTTACTAAACTAAAATATGATCATGCCTTGATTTTTCATTACTCAATTAGGACAGCATGGTCTGACTTTGCTGAGACAAGTCTTGTCACTGAACAGAAATAATGTAGAGTATAGAATATAAAGTCATGTTGCAGTGGAATAAGAATTATTATTGTTTATAACTCCCATGAGCTTGGACGACTGCATCCATACATCTCTGCAATGACTAAAATAACTTATTAATTGACATCTGGAATGGTAAAGAAAGCGTTCTTGCAGGACTCCCAGAGTACCTCAGGCTGTTGATGTTGCCACTCTGCAGATCTGTCGCACGCAGCTAACCGTCACACTAAACTATAATTTTTTCTTCACCAAACTCAATGTTTCCATGAGAATCTTGGGTAGTAATCTTCTGCAGTATTTGTGATGATTGGGATGCAGTTCAACAGATGATTCATGATGATTCATCTTCTGCCACTTTTCCAAATGATCAACTAAAAGTCAAGTGATTGTTTGTTGCTCTTACAAATGGGTTTAAAGTCTATGATTATATATATAATATGATTTGTATATGATTCAAAGTCTGCAAGTACAAAAAAGCCCTTAATTATTATAATTTTATAAATATAATTAGCCTTTTAACTAGAATTCCTAAATTTTTAATTGTATTTGGATCACCAATAGAGCACTACAGAGTATCCTCTATAAAGGCTGGATGCAAAAACGCTCATGAAATTAGATACTAAGTGTGAAGTTTGTGGCTTTGAGCTGTTCTGTTCTGAGCTTTGTATAAATATTAGAACTATGAGGCTGTCTGCATCTCAAAATATGACTGGATTAAGATTCAAATTCTAATAGATTTCAATTAAACTGAATATGATTTGTACGAGTGTTTGATTTGGATTCAAATTTAATTTGATTTGGGTTCCTATTTGATGCAATATATGTATTTTCCACTGATCCAGTTGATTTGGAATGAAATTTCAGTTGGATTGAGTTGCATTAAGGTTTTAGGTTAAGCTTTTGTTTGGTTGTGTGTGTGTGTGTGTGTGTGTGTGTGTGTGTGTGTGTGTGTGCGCGCATAGTCAGCAAGTACGAAAAGCCCTTAATTATTATAATTTTATGTGTATATATATATATATATATATATATATATATATATATATATATATATATATATATATATATATATATATATATATGTGTGTGTGTGTGTGTGTGTGTGTGTGTGTGTGTGTGCGTGTGTGTATAATTAGCCTTTTAACTAGGATTCCTATATTTGGATCACCAATAGAGCACTACAGAGTATCCTCTATACAGGCTGGATGCAAAAAAAAGCTCATTTAAAAAAGGAATAAAAAAGAAACATGCAAAACATATTTCGAAAAAAAAAAAATTCAGAGGTTAGAATAAAGTTAATCTTTACAGACAAAATAACTAACACAACTTACCCATTTCTGGAGATGTACAGGTACTCTTCAAAGTCACCATGGTATCAAAACAACCAGTTAATTTCAAGCCAAGAGTGAGCCAAATCAACATTAAAAGAGATGAAACCTGTTGTATAACAGAGAAATGGTTGAAAACAAGTTGGAAAATTTTGCATACTTGAAGATAGAAAGATCAGAAATGTGTTGCTTACCCACATGACATGTTGTTGTCCTCTTCTGTTCAATATGTGGTTGTACACGCACAGTGAACCAATGTCCGATTCTGATCTTACACAAAACAAATCAAACATTGCATCTATGCCATGCAGACTGATCTAATAACATCCAATGTGAAGGCTTGACTAACAAAACTAAAGTCCTGTGCATCTCCTCTTTCAAGTCTTCAATTCCCAAGACATATTTGCTCTGATAAGTTATCTGCCTACACCCACCCACTTTAGTAAATTGTCATAATTTCCCCATCCTGTATTTTTTTTTTTTTTTTGTCATTTATTAACTTGTTCTTTCTTCTTTTTCAGCTCCATCCTAACCCATCCGCTAATTTCCCAGTTGGATTCAAAAACACTTTCTAACATACACACATAAATCTTCAATTAAAAGTTTACGTTTCTATTTGATTTCTTTTGATTGTTTTTTTTTCAGCAGGGCTGTAAATTAGCCTATGTTACATGTTAAAGCACTCAAAAAAACGCAAACTACAACATTCTCTCCAGTGGAAGATTATTAATTTTTCCAAGTTAGATCTTGCCATTAATGACATGTTGGCCGTTACAAGATGGCGGATATTGTGCTGTCCAAAAAAAAAAAAAAAAGAAAATTATATGATATCTTTCTGACATTGTGAGAAATTGTCATTTTGATGACAACATGACAGTATAAAAAAGATGATATTATTATGTTAAATGTAGAAGAAATTATCATTATCAAAAATAAATGAATAAAAATGTTTTACTCAAATCAGTAAATACAGGCGTAAATCCAGAGAAATTAAGAATAGGCAATTCGTCTTTTGTTTTCCACTTCATTATTATTGTTAATACTCAAAATTCTTCATTTACTTTGAAGGCTTGGAATCCACAAGAAAAAAATATATTTACAGTAAATCATGTTTTTAACCATTATACCATTAATATTTCTGCAACTCCAAACAACAAACACTCCAACAAACACTACAGCATACTAGATCTACTATAGTGAACTCATAAACTAGGAAATACTGTAGTTTGTACTACAGTAAACAATGACTTTTGAAATGTACAGAAAACTTTATAGTTTAAATTACTGCTGTTTTATTACCACAGCAACTATAGAACTGACACAGAAAATTATTTTCAGTATAGTATGGTTCAGAAACAAGACAGTTGTGTATTTATAATATCCTGCTGGAAAAACAGCATATGAAAAATATCTAAAATACTTTAGTAATTCCTGCTGAAAAGCAATGCGTGTTCTGGCAAACTTTTGATGCTAGTTTTTGTTGGTCCCTCGCTGGTCAGAAATAGAAAATAACCAGCAAAAAAACAAGCAAGACCAAGCAAACCAGAATCTTATCAGTATAGACTTTTTTCAGCAAAGATTTTATTAGTTGTTTTGAGACCAAATTTTCTTGAGGTGCAAGTTCATAAATCGTGATTTACCTGACTAAAGTTTATATATCTTAGGTAAGAGCGAATCATTTTGAGCTACAAACCAAATATAAAACCGACTGGATCTCCAGTAAACAAGTTTTTGCACCCTTCCAAAATTTGTGATGCGACAAGCAACATACACACGCGACGCACCCCCAAATATGCAAACCATGCAAGACTGAACTGAAAAATAAAATTAAAAAATAAATAAAATTGCGTAAAATTTTTTTATTGAATTAATTCAAACCATTTCTACACAATTTTTTACACTGTATATCCACACTATTAAATCTGAAGTACGCGTCTAAAAACACGAGTATGTGGAGTTGATTTACTCTATTGTTGAACATTGAAATAGTTCTCCCAAAAGTGAAAATTCTGTCATCTTTTACTCGCACTCCATTAGTTTCAAACTCATTTGAGTTATTCTGTTAAACTGGTAGCTGTTGACTTCCAGCTGCTTAATTCC